GACGGCATCCTGGCCTGCATTAGAAATAGTGTGGCCAGTAGGAGCAGGGAGGTGATCATCCCCTGTACTCAGCAGTGGTGAGGCTGCACCTCAAATGCTGTGTTCAGTCTTGGGCCCCTCACTACAGGAAAGACATTGAGGCCCTGGAGCGTGTGCAGAGAAGGGCAAGGAAACTGGTGAGGGGTCTGGAGCACAAGTCTTATGAGGAGCGGCTGAGGGAGCTGGGATTGTTTGGTCTGGAGAAGAGGAGGCTCAGGGGAGGCCTCACTGCACTCTACAGCTTCCTGAAGGAGGCTGTGTTGGGGAGGGGTTTGGCCTCTTCTCCCAGGCAACAAACAGGACTCGAGGAAATGGCCACAAGTTGTATCAGAGGAGGTTTAGGTTAGACATAAGGAAGAACTCTTTCTCTCAGAGAGTGGACAGGCATGGAATGGCTGCACAGGAGGTAGTGGAGCCGCCATCCCTGGCAGTGTTCAAGAGGCATCTACAAGATACGACTTAGTAGTTTGTGGTAGCAATGGTAGTGGGAGAATGGTTGAACTGGATCTTGTAGGTTCTTTCCAACCTTGTGATTCTATGATTCTCAATGCAAAAGATGCGAACAGGAAAATACCATAAATATCATGGAAGTGGAAATTTAAAAAACAAAAAACAAAAAAGCACCATACAGCAGAGACAACTATAAAGTCTCACACAAGAGGAACAGTCAAATGAAATGAAATTCTAGATCTACACAAAAACCTACAGGTAGTCAAACAATCAATACTACTGTTCAAAGGCAACCACCATAACAGCAGCTCCTACAGACAGAGTGAAGCTAATTACGCAACATTTGTAGTATTCTTATCATAAAATATACTCAATATCCCAAATAATACCTGAATATTTACCATACTAAATATTCATCCTCCCCAGACAGCGAAGATCAAACTGAACAACGCACTGCTATGAATACCTTTATTTCTTTTCTACCTTAAGGTAGATAGCTTTGCTCAACCTTTGTACTTTCTACACGCCAGAATTACAGGACAAGCCAAGCATCTGCAGCACCCAAATTAAGGGCTCTCCTAAATCTACAAAAATAGCAACAAAACACTCCGTATCTCAAATGTTTTATGGACCTGATCATACTAGAGTAAGTTCTGCAAGCCAGCAGACAGTGATAACAGACAGAAAACTATTAGTCTACATCCATCTCTTGTGCCTGAATAAGCCTTGTTGTTGTGATTTTCAAAGTATTAAAAAAAAAAAAAAAAAGAAAGAGAGAGAAATACAGCCTGAAAGCTTGTGTAAAAGAATGATAACTAGACATCTCAACTAATTACTGTGAACTGATTTTGTAAGTCCTCAGAGCTGCTAGACAAAAAAAATTGTGCTAAAGAGCCAAACACTGAAAAAAGCAAAGCGGAATGTTAGGAAGAAAACAAACCCAGTTTCCAGAAATGCAAACAACACAGACCTACCACCACTACCTGAAATCATGACTGCTGCTGTATATTGAAACCTACTTTTCTAAATTTGGTTGTTGGCTTCCTTTTTTTTTTTCCCTTAACTTTTATAAAAGCTACGGCAAAGAAAAAAAAAAACAAAACAAGTGTAGACCAAAACACTTGTTTTGTATCAACATACACGAACATCATCTGCAGAGTTTTGTATCAACATACACGAACACCAACTGCAAAGGAAGCCTTTTATGCATCCAAGCTGGCCAGGCTCTCTGGCACAGATCACAGCCAGGATTGCAAGTGCAGCTGACTCAGGACCAGTAGGAGAACTGATTTCCACTTTGGGCTACAAGAAGCCCAGGCACACAACAGCAATCTTTGTCACTCCTGGAGCATCATGCACTCTTCATTCTTAAGACAGGACACAGCATCAGCAGCCAGTGATCATGTGGTTCTGCAGACAACTGGAAACCATTACTGCAGTCTCATTTGACACAGTCACCTGCAAAACTGAGGTGTAAGAGACTGGAAACAGGACAATACTTGATTACAATACTTTAATTTTTTTTTTTTATTATTTAAATTATGGGTTAGACTATCTGAATATCTGCTCAATAACTAGCAAAACGGTACTACCCTGATTAGGCCTCTGGACAGCACAGCAATGTAAGTATTACCAATGAACAAATGAAACTATATATAACCCCTCATAGATTGACAAGAACTGGCATCCAAAGAAACCAAGGACTGTTGATATTAGGGTTCACATTGGGATACAGAATGTATTAACATGAAATCATATAATGTCCTCTAAGTTTTTCCTGCAGAAAGCATGTATATTTAAATAAGTCCCTACAATTACACAAGAATCTGCTTTTACATCTTTTGTAAGTACACCAACCTTATAGAGTAAAGGTCAGATTTTTCAGTTTAAATGTAAGGCTACATAAAATGTTCATGCTGAGATTAATTCCGAACTTGGACTAACATTTAAAGAGACTTCATTAAAACTTTGCCTGGGAAAAGATAAGTGATGCTAATATACCTAGAACACTCAGCAAGAAATTAAACTGTTTACTCAAAATGAGCAGCAGACTGTTCTGCTACACAGGAACTACTTCAAAGCCCGGGCACGTTCATGGAGGATTTTGTCTTTTATTGAGTTTCTAGATCAGATAACAACTGAAACTTTTACTACTACTTATGAAATTCCCTCAAGATCAGCGAGCTTACAGTGTTTCACACTTCAATCAGATGCTGACAATAAAGAACTGTTGCTCACTGTGCATATAGTTAGCAATGAAACTACCTGAAGTATATATGTACCCATACACTCAGTCAAAAAAAAAAGTTGTTTTTTTTTTTAATTAGTCTTCCAATTCCACAAGAATTGTGGAATTCATCCCACACTTAAAAATGCCAGAGAAGCAGCCTCAGCAACAGGCCTAAGGCCCTAGAATCTCGTAATGAGTTTCCACCAGATATAAGCCTAGGCCTACACCAAGGCCACCACTGCTAGACAAAACTCCAGCTCTGCACACTGTTTGGGGGTTTAAAATTAATATTTTCACAGTTTAGAGAGACTAATACCCTTATATTAAAAATATGCCCAGTTGTTTGCAGAACCACAAAGTTCCATCCTTCTTTAAGTTGGTAACTTTTCTTTAGAAAACTGGAGGTTCCCATGTGCTTTTTATACAGAATACATTGAGATGATAGTCAGTTCAACTTTTAAGTCACTGGTCATGTAACAGACACCAAATAATTATTTGGTAAACGCTGGGATAAGCAAAGATAAGGGCAGTACGTGTTCTCAGTAAAAATGTTTAGTTTACCAATAAATTTCTAAAACAAACAAGATGTTTCCTGGACCTCCTTCAAAACAATGTTTCAGTGAAAAGGCAATCCCAAATGCTCAGCAGGAAGAAAAAGAAACTGCTTGCAGTCTCTGGCTCACACATTTTGGGCATGACCTCATTCTTTACTACCACTTTTCATTTCTGCTGCAGCATTTTATAAACCAAGGCTTGACGTTATTCTTGCACATTATGATTAAATATTACATACCAAATGCATATGAATGCAGATTAAAGTTATAAAAGAAATGAAAAAGCATCAAAGTGTATCCCTTATAACTCCTCACACAGTAAGAACTTATTTGGCGTGCACAAGGCACCATCATATACATTAGCCTCCAAACATAAAAATAGGTATGTCAAGATTTATTTAACCAGAATTTCTGCAAGTTTGCTATACAACAGTGACATACAACTATCTCCCCAAATTTAACTAGAAAAGCCAAATTTCCTTTTCAAAAATTGCAGGTTTGGATCATAACTTACAGGGAGCTGTTAAGTTATCCATACTCTACTTATCGAAGCGCCACTATTAAAGCAATCTAATATCCCAATTACTTACAAGGAAGCACCTACATGCTTATATCCCAAATGCCTTGAAATGGTTCTAACAATAAGCTCACACTGGAAATTCAGCGATTTCTTGAAATATCAAATATCCGGTTTAACGTTGCCTTTTTTCTCTTTCCTATTTGATCATATCAATCAAGCTTAAACAATGATTATATATCAGTCCATCGAAACTAAACAGTTACCACTTCCAATACAACTGTCATCAGTGCACCGCTGGTAACACAGTTCTGTTTAGTACCAGGTACTTAAATAAGCACTCAGCTTTCTGTACCAACCTGTTTCCAACCTCTGCAGTTAAGAAAGCTAAGGTACACAGGCTAAATTAAGCAAACATCCCAACAATTGCTCAAAACAAGATATGAGAATTATACGCTTGGCAAATAACTTTAAAAACTCTCTGACGTTAACCTTTTAACCTGATCTATTCATACCATCAGGCTTTCCTGATAGTTTTACACACCCGTTTTTGCTTTTTTAATTAATTTTTTGCTGACCACCACAGAATAGCGTATTTTAAGAAAGCGGCCAACATTCACCCACCGTAGCAGTAACTGTTTTATCAGCGAAGAACAAATACCACAGGTAACGAGGCCTCGTCAGAGTTAGAATAAAAAGGAAAAAAAGAGGAAGAATAAAAGAAAGCTCTACCCAAGGACCGTTCTAGGAAGCGTTCAGCGTTTTGGTTTATCGGAGGCCGAACCGCTCCTAAACTGATTGTGGCATACGAGGAGGAAAACGTTTAGGCGAAAAATTCCAGCTCCTCCAGGCTCGGCCTCCAGCGGCTCGGCAGCTCGAGGCACGGCGCGGAGCAGCTAGGCCCCGCCGCGCCGGGCAGGATGCGCGGCCAGCAGCGGCAGTTCGTCACGTCCCGCCCGGCCCCGCGCGCCCGGCGGCTCCTCGGAAGGCCCCGAGGGGCCGAGCCTCCCCAGGCCGCGGGCGGAGAGGAGGGAAAGGAGCCGCGGAGCGGGGCGGGCTCCGCCGTTATGGCCGCCCCGGCGCCCGGGAGGCCCGAGCCGGGCGGAGGCGGAAGGCGGCGCGGGGTTACGGCCCGGTCCGCGGGGAGTGGGAGCGCGGCGCGGGGCGAGGACTGCCGGAGAAGGGCAGCGGAGAGGGCGGCCGCACTTACTCTCGTTTAACACCTCCAGCAGCTCGGCGCAGCTCTCACACATTGTTCATTAACAGCAGCAGCCGCCGCCACCGCCTCCTCCCAACCATTGATTGATCCGCGCGGGGCCGCCGATCGGTGATTGATGGGGGCCGGGGCGGGGGTCAGCGGATGGGGGGGGGATGGGGGGAGGGGAGAGAAGGAGGGGCGGGAGGGCGGAGGCCGGTCCGGGGCGGGGGGGATGGGGCGGCCGAGCGATGCCAATAAGCCCGCGGCGGCGGCGGGAGGGGAAGCCGAGTCACTCACTGGCTGCCGGCGGCTCCGCGCGCCGCCATTTTGGCGAGGGGGAAGGAGGAGGAGGGAACGGCAGCGAGGGAGACGGAGCGCTCGGGCTCCGCTCGGCGGTTTCCGACGAGACGAGAGACGAAGGCGGCCGAGTCCCTCCTCCTTTTCGCCCCGCCTTTCCCAGCCCGGGCCGGGCGGCAGGCCGGCAAGCGGGGAGGGAGAAGGGGGCGGGCCGGCAGCGGGGCCTGGAGGGCAAGATGGCGGCTAAGGCGGCGCGCTGACGGGTGAGGCGCGAAGCGGCAGTCGCGGCCCCAGTCCCGCCCCCCGCCGGGAAGGACCTCCCCGGTGCCGCGCGGGGCGGGAGGGCCGCTCCCGCTTTAAGCGAGCGCGGCGCGGGCCGCGCCGCTTTGCGCTCCCCGGCGCTCCTCTGAGACTTAGGAGCGAGTTCGGCGTGCCGCCGGTTCTCTCCTCGCCGTCCTCAGGACGCGTCCCCGCCTGTCAGCAGCCGGCGGCTACTCGTGCAGCGGCGCTGCGGGGACGGCCGGCCGCAGCGAGCGCCCGTCAGGCCACGCGCGAAGCCTGCCCGCTTCCGGGGCTCGCGTCTCGCGTTTGATTGGCGCTTTCCTCATGCGTAAGTCCGGGATCGGTCTTCGTTTGCTTGTTTTTCCTAGCGATATCGGTATTGAAGTTCTTGAAATTCAAAGCCGAAAAGCGTGGTAGGCGTCTTCGGCGTGGTTGTCGTACTTAACTAACACGAGCACCGTTGCTGCAATAAATTGGTTTGCTTCCTTCCTCGACCGTTACCATCATTTTGCACAGGTATTCCTTCTAGTGAGGAGCGATCGGTGGCCGCACAACCTGAGTGTGTCAGTTGCGTTTGCAAAAAGAGAGCGTTGTTAACAGAAAATACAGTTCCATTCTGCGCATAATCAGAGTTGAGCTTGTGTTTGTTTCTCTTTGTCCTCTTCCTTACTTAGACCCGGCAGTCCCTTTGATCGTAAATCCAAAATTAACTGCCAGGGCATCAGAAGTTTACTTTTCTGACAAATCGGCTCTTACAAGAGGGGGTCTTTTGAATCACAACATCACGTGCTATGGTCAATATATACGAGAGGAATGTGAGTGAGCTTGTTCCTAACTGTACAGACTAGAATATTTTGAAGTGCATTTTACGACACGCAATCTTATTTTTGTTAAAGAAAAATGACATTACAGTTTTAAAATGGAATGCAAGCTTCCAAACAGAAGGCAGCAGGACCTATAAGTGGCCTACAGTTTTCATGATAGTGATCATCAGCTAGTCTTTCTTCTATCCACTGCTTGTCTTCTCTTGTCTTCTCTCCTCATGTGGCATCACTACAATGTGGTTTGATCCCCAGGAGGCCCTTTTCCTTCCCCTGACTGTGATACTGCTTTTAATCAGGAGATGCTTCCTTTGGTAAGCTGACAGTAAAGTTGTGAAGTAGTAATTGAAGAGAAACGTGAGACTTGAGCAAAAGTAAAACGCTGTATCCAAATGTTGTACAAGGTGAATAGTCTGAGATCCATACGTACACTTACAGTGTCAGCGTCCCAAGACCAAACGAATAACCCAGTCCTAGCAATTTTTTTTATTTTTTAATTTATTTTTTAGGTTTTAAAGTAAATGAACCATTCACCAGAAGAAAAAAAACCCTGGTGTGGATTAGGGGTCACGTCATTTTTCTAAACCTTTATTTAAATAGCCTGAGGATTGTACCCAGCCTAATTCTGGGATCATCTCTCTTACAGTATTTTTCAATTTTCATTTTGATTATTTCAGACTATAAAGCACTTTTCACATAATTGATATCCCTTTGATTCAAAAGCAAGCAGAACTTTTGGACTCTTCATGGGTAGAGCATGTATTTACGACTGTTTTTGTAGAAGTTTGCTATAATGATTGCACATTTGGACGCAGTTAATCCAAAAAGCAAAATGCTCACAGGCTCTCTCTGGGGAGAGAAGTTAATAGAAGACTGATGCAAAACAAACAACAACAACAAAAAACAGAAAAACCCAAACACCTCACACTAGATCTAATGCTAGATTCCAAACAAGAAAATTGATCATTACTATCTTGTTATCAACAGTCGTGTCAAAATAACAGCTGTGGTAAGCAGGCTGCAGACAGTTCTTTCCATCACACACAGATGTAGTCACACTGAGATAAAACAATTTTAACTCCTCTCCCTCATCTCCAGTTGTTCCCAATAATCTTTACATGAAGGAACCCCCAAAGGCTGCAGATTTGCCAAGAAGAAAAACTGAGACAGTTCACGATAGAAATATAAGCCCTTTTACAAACTTTGATTAGGTATCTGGAAAAGTGCTTTTTAGCCCACTAGAAGTGTAAATATGAGTGCTTTGCTTAGATCTTTTTAACTTACGGCATATTCTGATCCATTCTGATGTAACTCATCTATATTCTGATCTTTGAAAACATCCCTTCTTAGTCCTATCTTTGTTTTTTAAACTGTTTTCTTGTTCCCACTGAACAGCATGAACGAACACAGGTAGACACGTGTATGAAAATGAAAAGCACGCAGGGCAAGTACATACCTGCAGTAGCATTTGTTTCATTTCATAGTTCTAATTTAGACAAGAGAAGTGTCTTGAGGAGACTGCTGGCAGACTGAGTAACTACACTCAGCTTTAAAAACAAACAAAAAGATAAAAACCAAAACCATAGTTCTGCAAAGCTGTTGTAGTTGATAAATGCAGCCAGTCTCTTTCAGTATGCTAACATGCTCCATCAGGTAGTTCAAATGTATAAATACTCCAAGTAGGGAAGCCGGAGTCCCAACGCCAAGCTGAGTTCCCAACTGTTCACCATTGTTCTAACAGGAATAGTAGTAGAAAAGGTCTTCTCCCATTCAGCCCTTGGTGTCAAAATTTAAGTTGAAGCAGTATCAGTTATTTTCCCTAGGGACATGTCATGTTTGTTTTTGAATTTACCTGTGAATGTGCAAATTATCACAGAAAATGTGCAATAAAGCGTAGTTGTAGAACTAGTAAAGTAACTGTAAAGTTATCTGGTATTTCCTTACATAGTATTTGTACTACTAGAAACACAAGCAGTCACTGTATTTTCACTTTTTTAGCACTAAGTGGATCTTTTCTCCCCGTACTCAAGAAATGATTCTTGATTTCAGTGCATTTAGTAATTAAGGTGCATTTTATGTAAAATTTGGGAAGTGATCGGCTAAGCTTTTTTCCGAGAGAACGTTGCTGATCAGTCAACTTCAGCAATGACATCCTGGATGTGAAAGGCTAAATAGAAATACTGTCCCATTAAATCACATACAGAGGTGTATTCATGAAGGGCAGGAAGGAGAGGTATGTTCTTATACTCAATTTTGTAACCAAAATGGTTTTTAAAAACAATCTCTCAACACTGGGGTTTTGCCCTATTAAATTTGGAGACACACCTAACATGGAAGAAGAGAACAAAAATTATCTAGGCACAATATGAGCAAGAAAATAGTGCCCCGCAAGTTTTGGGTGAGTAATAATTTATCTGGAGGCACAATCTCAGAGGCACAGTTCAACACTAAAGCAACTTCCTTGCTTCAGTCAACCTCTCTACATCTTAGTGCTGTGATAGCTGCAGTATCTTTTCCTAATGCCGCTCCCCTTCATCCAAAGAAATCCACAGCCAAAGTTTTATTCCTTTCCAGTGCTGAAGTCTATTGGAAATAACTTCAAGCTCCCTTGAGAGATGAACATTATTCTAAAGCTTTTTGCATAAATATTAACTTTATTGGAAAATAGTTCACTTAACCAATCAGATTAACACACAGCAAATTATTCAAGTTAGAAAAAGAAAACTAACCTAAAATGCTTTGGAAAATAATTGCTCCAGTTACAGTAGCAAACACATGGTAGCCTGAAACAAGCACTTGGGGGTGTCTTCATCTGCTAACAGGCAATCAAATCATGTAAACACAGAAAACACCCTGTAATATTTTTGTTAACGAATGTACCTAGAGTACATAGAATTTTTTCTTTTAAAATCTGTATAGAAATATGCACAAAGTAAACATTGGTTTACATATAATTACAAGTTGTAGTTGTTTTTATGATGGGTTCATGCTTTTTATCCATTTGTTTTCATTTCCAGAGTATGCATTCAACACAGTATCTACAACCTTCTCAGGTGTACATTGTAATAATTTTTCGACAGAGGATAACTGCACTAGGAATAGACACACCCTTCCCCCCAAATTTTATCAAGAACTCTGCATAAGCTGCATTTTCATAGCATCTGCAGAGATCAGCAAAAGGCACCAATTTTGAAGATAATACAGCTTTTTGTCAGATTTAAAAGGGAAGTGAAAACTAACATCACCATTTTGTTACTAGATAATCTAAAAGGTTTCAAAATAATGAAAAACTCTTATCCAAATTGCATTTTTAAACACACTTCAGGTGTTCTTTGAAAGTCAGATGTAATTCTTAAGTACGCATCAGACCACAAGTCTTGCACATTTACTTCAACCTTGAAAATGAAAGGTGCACATAAAAGCACACATGCGTTTTTCATTGAAACAATTTTCACTGCATGTCTGAACTAGTCCTGTGATTCGTGGAATACGGTCATTCTCATGTCGCACTATTGGGGGTATTTCCATTTTAACAGTTTTCTTCCTGGTCTCCACAGCTTTTGATAATCTGCAGCTCTATGATGCTGTGACTAAGCCTGGTCACAAGCCATTTTAGTATCCTTCAACAGTACTTCAAACACTTTAAACTGCTTCTTATGTTACATATTGCTTTACAAGAACAAAAATCTATAACTCAACTGGACAGAAAGACATGAAAAAGCTTAAAGCGCGAGTTTGAGAAACAAATGAAATCTTTCATCTAACAAACTAATTAACAATGTTGGTAGGCTACATTGTAAGTCCCAGACATAAAGGGTTTGAGGAACGTCGTCTCCACAGCTTAGAGCTTTCAGATTGCAGTATTTGTGATGATAAAAGATGTTCCAGAAGTAGTGGCTTTGGTTTTTTAAGGCCAGCTAAGTCAAGCAAGAGAGATTTTCAGACACAGAATGGACCAGTCCTTAAGACTGGAAACATTCTGATTACGGTAAAATTATACATTGAGCACTGCTATCTCATGCACTTCTACTTCAAAATTAATGTACAGCACAAAATTACCTACAGTATCCAAGCTTACATAAAGCACCTCCACAACTGTCTAACTTTGTTTTACAGCTCTGAATTAATTGCTATGCTTTGCATCACATTAACAATCCTAAGACTAGAGACCAAATAAAATGGAAAGAAAAGTGTGTGGGAGATTTTAATGTCAACTGTTAGAAAACAGAAGAGAGACACTGCAAACATGGGGAAGCCAAGACTGTACACCGTCTTTGTGTTCACACTAAAGTTTTCTCATCTGTACTTCATACATCTGTGAAAATTATTTAACTACAAAACTTTAGGTAGAAAAATAACTGCACATCTGGTCTATACGTGTTATTAATATGTACTAGTATCAATTTTTAGTCAAGATACAGTTCAATAACTCTTTGGAATAAAATACAAAGAGTACATATAGAGAGCAAGAATACCTTATTACTGGCATTCTACAGCAATGTAGTACGAAGTATTTTTAGTCATGGTGTTAAGTCAAAACAGCTACCATACTTTCGAATAGATAGAACCCAACTTATTTCTTGTTAGCTTTCAAGCATAGCCGAAGTCCTTGAGATCAGGGGAAATCAGAAGCAATGGTAACCCAGACCTCAAGGACCATCTCCTATGCCTTCAGGGTATAAGAACAAACCTTTAATACGATCACAGCATTTTCATCCAATGAAAGAATAAGCCGAAGAAAGAAAAATAAATGTAAACCAAGTTTATTTTGCTCTTAAGTAGTGTTCTTTAAGCACTACAGCATGGTAAACAATGTAAATTAGTATAAGTCATCTCAAAAGCCAGAGGTTTTTTTTTTTTTTTTTATTTTATGAGTTGTTAAAAAGATGCAGCCTATTCTAACAGGATAAATATTTTAACCATTTCACTTCGAGTTAATGAAGGCTCACAAATGAGCAACACTCCTCATTGAGGAAAACAAAAAGCTGTTGTCGACAAAGCGACAGCACACACACAAAAACAAAAGAACTGTGTAAAAATAACTAACTGTACTGTGTTCCCATACGCTTTAGAAGTTGCTTTACAATGGGATGATATGCACATGATCTTGCTGCAAACTTGCCATACAACTTGCAAATACATGTAAGCCTAGCCTTTACCCACTCAAATCCAAAAAGCTGCTAACTGATCAAAAAAATTGCAGCACTATAATCCTCTGCTTAACAATTAATTAAAACTGTTTTACTCATTGCTTTTTCTACTAGACTGCAAGACAGGCTAGAAAGAAAAAGATCCCAAATTAAAAATTGATACTCTTACAGGAAGTTGTATAGTTTTGCAATATAGTCCTTTACAATTTATGTTTTGCCTATTTTCCCCTTAGCCACAAAAATGGGCATGAAATAATTACTTTGAAAATGCATTAATTTTCAATTCATGCAAATCTAAATAAAGATGACCAAACGAAAGCTTAAACAATGGAAGGATATTTCACAGAAAAATTCTTATACAAAAACACATAAGAAAAGAGGGCCACTAGGTGACGTTTTAATTTACAAATTGGCATCATTTTGGTCAACAAATATCCAAGTGCTGTTTTCTTCTGTCACAACAAAGTGGCTGCACAGAAAGAAAACCGCAAAACTTGTTTTTTAATCACACATCTCCTCAGGAATTTCATGTGGATTAAGAATGCCAGGTACAGACATCTGAAGTTTATGTTTCTCCTCTTGAGCTTGTCGAAGGGCTGTTTCTCTTTCCTCCAAGAATAAATCCGATGTGTCTTCACCTGCGAATTCCTGTGTAATTCACACAAAAACAACACTTTGCTTTAACTGCGTCAGGAAGGGTAATAAGCTTCTGACAATCAAGAACAATGCTGGAAACATCTTCCCTTCACATCCTCGTCACGCTATTTCTTGTTTTGCCTTCCATAAGTAAGATTAGGATTAGTATCAGAGACAAAAATTTTCAGCATGCATTATACTGTAGGACGGTGCAGCTTTTTATCATTAAAGCAGTATCTTTACAATTTTTGAAATATCTACCTAATGTAGCCTGAAAACAACTTTAACATATACTTTCAGAATCATCTCAAATTTTAGCATCTTTGGAAAAATAAAAGCAGAGCACTAGTCTGTCTACTTTCAAAGCATGCCTCAGTCCCTAGCAGAAATGAAACAAAATTTATTTTATGGCCTCTTTAGACCTATATGTACAAAGGATAAGCAACAGCATGCATTTAAACCCAATCTCTACAATTAAATTATGCTCAAGTGGATTACATGATCCAGTACCTAGACTCTCGAGCCAAGACAATTTTAAGTAGTAGTAAAATATACACCCTATTATAAACACTGTCTAATGACTTTTAAAAACATCATCCTGCTAAATATTTTTACACTTCTTGTAAGAAACCATGCCAAACATACCTTTATTTGGACCAGGAAATCCCTTAGGTGCTCCTTAAAGGCAGGAATATCCTGGTTTAAACTGAAGAGTCCTGTTACAAACAGCTTAACCTGGGCACTAATAGTAAATACATCTGTTAGTATTTCAAGACGTAAGTATCCACTAAGAAGTATAAAACAACTACAGCACACTTACTCTTGTAGATGAGGAAATGCAGATTTGAGGAGATTAGCAACATACTCCTGAATAAACATTTGGTTGTTCACTGGATTTCCAGGGTTTAACGGAGTACTTATTTTTCCTTCTTCTACCAAGTTGAACATGTATGCAAGGATTGATGCATGCATGGTCAAACCTGAACAGATCAAAATTATACATATGTTGTTATTACTCAGAACAGGAAATGCAACATTAGTATGATGCTTGAAAGGCTTGTTTTCATCTGGCTCACAATCTTACCAGCAGTGTGTGAAGTATCTGTTACAACAGAGAAGATGTGCTGAAGGATGTCACAGAAATATGTCTGATAGAAACTCTGAGCAGCAGCCTCTTCTTGTGCAACATTTTGTAGCAGAGTGTAAAGTATTTGAAGTCCTGCAAAATTTGCATAAAAGACAAGATGAACAATGAAACTATACAAAAGCTCCATGCATCCTTCCACCTTTTTAAAGCGAGACAAACATCCCAAGAAATTCTGAGAAGCATTGAGAAGTATTACACTGATCATTTTCACAGGCATTTCCTCAAGCAGCCAGTAGAGGGCGGCAGCCACATTTATAGTGAGCACCAACTCGGTTTTCACTAATAGACTTGGAATCCTAAGAGCCAACCAGCCAACCACACAATTTCTCGGTACAAACTACAGAAAAACTACACAAGCACAGTTACCTTACTATCTGAAATGCAACACAAAGTTATCTTTTATCCCTTCCAAACATCAACAATTGGCTAATGAGGTAGGTTCAAAACAGTAATTTTCATCCTGTGATTGGGATGCTTTTAGAATTTATGACATTCACATAGCTTTTCCTAGCCTTCCTTGGCAACTCCATCCCAGAGGACATTTAATTAATCAAGTGTACTAAAAACAGCCTCTCAGTGAAACCAGAGATGAAGTTTAACCTGCTGTTGTTCAAAAGAAGCAGTTTACCTTTAGTCTAAGGTTTTACCCTCTACTGATGTAATAGCTGACTCTCAGATTGAATTCACTCACCATTCATCTTCCTGCTGTCTTTTTCAGTAGTAACTATGAGACTGTCTTAGTGAGGCAAGAAGTTAAACACTCCAGACAGCACAATGAAAGCCAAAGCAGAATACCAGCAATAAGCTGTTGCATCAGTTCAGCATTTCAGAAAAATCCTCACATTTTAAAGAGAAAGCATGCAGAAACTAACAGTGCTCTCTTCTGTGAGTACAACAGCATCCAACTATTTCAATACATTAATGAGTATCTGGTTGTCAATGTGAAACTGAGACAGGAAAATACTGTTCTTCTACAGCAAATACAGTATTTAATAGTGCGACTGGAATGCTATGTTTGACTAAAAATACAAGAAAGCAACAATCTACAGACTTAAAACTTCAGTTTTACCTGTATCTGCAACGTTTCTCATTGTATGTTTGAAAGCCCAAATAATAGAATCCAAAACAAGTTTGAACTGTGCAGGTGGAATGGCCAGGAATGCTGGGAAGCAATGAGAATTTACAGCCTGGAGTAGCAAGAAAAAGTTTGTTCTATGTTCAGGATATTCTTCGAAGTCCTGAGAGTCAGGGGCAGGGAAAAAGAGGAGAGAAAAAAATAGCACAGTCAGCAAAGCTTACTGAATAGCTTAGAGATCCACCATAATATCTTTTGCTAAGAAGAGTGAGTCAATATCCAATATGGAATGGCATTCACATCTCAAGTTTGAAGAAATGTGAATACAAAACAGAACTTACAGTTCCCAGTTTCCCAGTAAATTTTTTTCCCCAATACTTTTACTAGCAAAGCTTAGTAAGACCATTTTCTACAGTTACACAGTATCAACAGGCTGAACCAGATTTTGTCAGTACGGCAACTTCAGTTACTACTTGCTCTACAGACACAAGATACATGGCTTCAGCATTAAGCACCTAGCTACTACAGGGATGCACTACTGCAAAATGACCCTAATCTAGCCAGTATTATGCAACTACTTACTGTAACTTCTAGCACAGAAACTCTATCAACTATGGAATTCAGCAAAGTAAAGAAATATTCACAGAACACAATTTATGAATACGAGTATTGATAACTATATATGAATTCTAGTCATTCACCCTACACTGAAGTCTACTTAAAAGTATTCTTCAGCTTCCAGAACCGGTGACATTCCAAGGTCTTGGAACAGAAAATCAACTAATCATTTAATTTCAGAACTGTATTAAGAAATCAAATGAATGAGATTAAGACATTCACCTGAACAGCCAGAATCCATGAACCTCAATTAAATTTCCATAAAACAGAAGCCATGTAATGACACTATGTTAACTACATACTGCCCCCTTTCTTGCAATACCCAAAGACCAGTACTGTTAATATAAACTCCCTTTTTTTCCCCCGCTTTATCCAAAATTTACATATAATACCTTATTGATCATATTTAATGTGCACTCAAAAACAGCATCAAATATCTGAGGTATTTCAGCAGTAATGTGTCCACCCAGCTTGTTTACAATGATAGCCATAGTACTAAGTACTTCAGGTTCTCTAGCAGCTGGAACATTTCTCTGGTAGTCAATGAGAACTGCATCCAACAAAGGAGGAACAAAGTTTTCAGCAACCTAAATAAAACAGCAAGACTCTGTTATAGCAGCGCAGTTACTGAACAAAGTCTCAAGCAATTACAAGGTAGTTCTGAAAGAAGCTAAAAATATGTAGCAGAAACAGACCTGGGGGTACTGGCTGTATCTGGGCTGAACATGAGCCAGCAGTGTGGCCAAGAAGGCCAATGGCATCCTGGCTAGTTTCACTAATAGTGTTGCCAGCAGGACCAAGGAAGAGATCATTCCTCTACATTCTGCTCTGGTGAGGCTGCACCTCGACTAGCGTGTTCAAGTTTTGGGCCCCTCACTGCAATAAAGATATTGAGGCCCTGGAGAATGTCCAGAAAAGGGCAGTGGAGCTGGTGAGGGGTCTGGAGTACAAGCCTTATGAGGAGTGGCTGAGGAAGCTGCGATTGTTAAGACCACAGGACACTCAAAGGAGACCTTACTGCTCTCTGTAACTACTCTGAAGGGAGGTTGTAGTGAGCAGGATTTGGTCTCCTGCATAATTAGCGACATGACTACAGGGAACGGCCTCAAGATGTGCCTGGGGAGATGCAGGCTGGATGTTAGGAAATACTACTTCTCCAAAGAAGTGATAAGGAACTGGAATGGGGTGCCTAGGGAGGTGGTGCAACCACCAACCCTGGAAGCATTCAAGGAACTTTTAGATGTTGTGTTGAGTGAAGTGGTTTAGTGAGAACTACTGGTGATAGGTGGATGGTTGGAGTGGATGATCGTGTAGCTCCTTTCCAACCTTGGTGATTCTATGATGATATTCTATGATGATATATTACACATCCATATACTTCCCACCCACTGTACCCATCCAGCAGTGGTTGCCTGAGGACTCTCATACAACTTCTTACTTCCCCTTTGGATTCCTCTCAGCTGAAACTAACTGAAGCAATCAAAATATAGCTCAGGCCTACCCCTCCGTACAATCACACCTTATCCTTCCTTCAGATATTGCAGTTCTGAAAACAGTTCCTGTGAACAGAACAGTATTGACTGCTCTTCAGAAAAAGAGCAGAGCTGTTCCTGATTTTGTTGTATGAACTATTTCTGCAAAATAAATTTACTTACCATTTGAGGATCATTGGACCTGCTCACCCAGCCAGAAATCAGTTTTAAAGTTTCCCTTTTTACAGTCCTCATACTTCTAATCAAGGGCTGCTTTGTTACCATTTCACCTGAAAAGTTGTAAAGCTTCACTTAATCTAGGTAAGATGTGCCAACAAGCAGACTCACTTAAATCGGTTCCACAAAGTTCAGAATGTTTCATTTTTATATCCAATTGACAAAGAAAGAAGACTTTTCATTCATATTATGCAGATAAAAACTAGCTCCCCATTATTTCAGCTCCATAGGTCCAAGTTGCAATTTGGTATTACAATACTACCAGTGACAGTACACTGCCTGCACAGCTCAAAAACAAAGCTGCAACTTACTTTTCAAGTAAGGGAATCATGCATGTTCATTTAACTATTTGGATGAAGCTTACCTCTAGCTCTCACTAAGTGATGAGAGGGCATCAACTTACACAGTGTTTTAAAGCAAGGTCCTGATTTTGTCACAGACAAACCTAATCATTCAAACTTTTCTTTATTACAAGGAGCCTAATTTTTACTTCATTTTCTTACATCCATATCAATGTAAACCTCATCAGTAAAACCTGCTCTAATTGAGTGCACAGCCACACAATCATAACAGTATATCCAAGGAAAGCCCTGGAAGACTGCAGCCAGGGAAACAAGGGTAGAATTGCTTCTGCAGGCATCAGAGATAATCAGTTGTGAGAACATACTCTGAGGCAAGTGCAATATAAATAGCTCTTGGTCTAGTGAAATATCAGGACTAGAAGTCCTAGCAACTGCTTCCTATTTTGGCTGTTATCGTGTTGTTTTTTTTTTGTTTTGTTTTGTTTTTTTTTGTTTTAAATAAGAATGAGTTCTGGCAATTAAAGCTGCAGAATTAAGAAATGTATCGATTTTACAGCTAGTTATATTCTGAACTCTCAGAAGCTACTTCAAGGTCAACCAGTTGTTCAGTGGTTAAGTCTTAACATTCACATATATAATTATTTTCATAGAAAATCTGTCTTAAGACAGATCCAATAATCAATTCATTTCATCTTGTCAAGAACTACTACAGCAGCACTTTCTACTTAGATATCAGATTCTAATTTATCCAGTAAAAATTGGTTAGATAACTTCGGTAACTCTTAATTCCTTCTCAGTGATTATCAGTCTAGTTTATGACATATTTGAGGCACCTTCACTGAAGTTACACTTCTGCAATAAGGCTTTTTCAGTAATACGATATCATCAAACCAAAACTCTGACAAAATACTAGGGTCTTTTCTTATTCAAAAAGAGAGTAAGTCAAAAGAATGCAGGCCACTTCATCTCTGCAAGACCGCTACTGGTCAACAGTCTCTTGCATCATTCCTAAACTCATGCTTATAGCTTCCCTCCTTCCAGAATCAAGAGTTTCTTTGAATAAAACATTTAACTGGTTAACATAATAATCTAAGCAAGCACATTTTCAGTCATTCTCTTGCCCGAACACACGCACAGAGAAACAACAAAAAACACCACCAATGTACACACAATAAGATAAGCCCAGTTGTAACAAATGTGAAACCTGATGACATGCACTGCCAATCCCATTATGAAAAACATACAATATCTTACCATTAGCCTGAATAGCTGCAGAAATATTTTCACTTAGGCACTTGTATACATTCAGCATATCTAAATAAATTCTTCCAAGCTGAATTACAAAGGGGTGGCCAACTGCTTTACACGCTCTTACATTGGTTTTCAGAATGCTACCAAGCTGCTTAACTGTTTCAGGATCCTTCAGAATATCAACATTCTGTTGAAAAAAAATGAGTTACTTCCTTTCAGTTAATAAAAATGCCATTTATCTTCTAGTACAAAAATGGTCATTTTCAGGAATTTATCTTATACACTGTTAAGGAATGTTCTGTAAAATTCTTTAAACTGGATTTAAACCACTCAAGTCATTTCAGTCTTCTCTCTCCAAACAATGCTTTTACTGTCACATCAATCATTGCTTTAGCTAGGTTCACCCCAGATAGTTCACCTAATTTCAGGGGTAAAAACAAGCAAACAAGAACAAGAACAAACATTCAACAGCTTTATTTTAAAAACGCTTCTAATTTATGGTCTTACTTTTGTTGCCTGTTGAATTATGCTATCCCATACTTGATTGGGGAGCAACATGTATTTTTCTATCAGATGCTCCTGTACAGTCTGGTCTGTTTGTGCCCCAATCATGTATCCTACTGCTTCATAGAAAGTATGCACCTGATTGAAAAAACAAGAAGTCAAACAGAAAGGTTAAGGAAGAGCAACCAGAAGTTACAATGTTCAAAACTAGCAGATAGTAAAAGCTGAAAATGGGTTTCCAGTGACTAAATACATACTTTCCATTTCATTTTACAAGATCTTTCTTCACTCTTCCCTTACTTACACCACATTTAAAGCAACCCTCCATTCCCTTCCAATACTACTATGTACATCTCAGAGACTTCCTTTGTTTTACCACCACATCCTGAAGCAAGCAATTTCAGGCATATGCTTTCTCTTACAATACAGCTCCATTTATATCTTTTACAGAACTTTGGGCTAAATCAAGTGCAAGAAAATCAGAAGTTGGAACTTAATACCTCCTCTGCCCAAGGTTTCCATGTCACTGCAATGCATCAGCCTATGCAGTGCACGCACTACACTGTCAGAGCACATCCTCCCTGCAAGTATTCTCTTGCCCCGCACATGCAAGACCTGTAAGTATGCTACCACAGTAGAATATCCTTCTTTGCTAATCAAAACCTCAAAATCAGATTTACTATGTCATTTATTCATAAAAGCATTCTAGTAAAGAATTTCAACTTAGCACACTTTAATTCTCCTTCCAAGAATTCCAATTAGGACCTTAATAACTCTGACCATACTATTTGTAATGTGACACTCCCACTTACACACACTACGACTAAGAGACACAATTCAAGCCTTAAAGACTACTACCAGGGAAAAGTTGCGACATAACAAACATTGGTCTTCACAAATTTACTCACACTATCAATTAAACGTACCTGTTGTGGCTGGAGGTCACAGATGATTGTATTTATATTGTTCAAGATTTCATCAATGAAAGGCATTACTTCTCCCACTTGAACCTGAACAAAATGTCGGCGGCACTTTTGTGCTATTTTTATGAAGGTATCACAAGCCATATCCTGAACACCATCATGGGTTTCTAAATTAAATCAGATCAGTTACTATTTTGTATTTTTCCCCAGACATGCACATGTACAGAGCATCAATTTTTTTTCTTTAAGATTAAAGTTAGAACAGTAAGTGAAAGAGATAATTACCATGCATAAACTCAAATAGCTTGTTGACTACTGTCTTCAAAAACTTCCAGTGAGCTCTCAAAAAACGTGGGTATTGGCCTACTATGTACATTATATTTGATGCAATAATGGCTTTGTTGTCTTTTCCTCTCTTTTGTTCACAGAGCCCTAGGAGATCCTACAATATAACAAATTATTAGTTTCCTCCCCAAGTTCGTAGACTAGAAGAGCAGTATAAAGGCTAAAATAAGCAATAATAATGATACAGTAAAGTAGTTGCTATTATTAAACTCAAAACCAAAATAATTAAAACAAAAAATAAACAAAAAAAAAAAACCTACAAACCAACAACCCTAGTTAAGGATCAGGATAATTTCTTAAGTTTCAGCCAACCCTAGAACACCACATTTTCAGTCATACGTTTTAGATATAATTAATAATTTATACAGGGCAGACTACAGCAACCCTTAGTGCTGAGTACTGACCAACCAGACAATACTGATAAACATACAGGTATTACACAGCAAGTAGAGGAAACTAAATCCTTTCTGCAGGACTTTTGTGATGTAATATTGATGCGTAATTACTCCGGTACATAATATTTTCTTCCTGTACTCTTTCCACACACACATTTACTTAAAATGAAGTGGCAGAAGAGAAGGATGCTAGTTGGTTGAAAACAATGCACATTACTTTGCTTCATTAGTGCTCTTACTTCATTAGTGCTTCCTTTCCATATCTTCTGCATTCCTAAAGCAAAATATTTTATCATAAGCCAAATGTTCTCTCCAGAATTTTTACAATGAAGAGGCTATTTGGATTCATGTATTTTTCATGACTGAGGAATTCATCAGCCTAACATTCAGGATATGACATTTCCCAAATTATTCCCATCAACTTGTTTGCTGTACAAGGTAGCTTACTGAAGAATGTAGAGAAGTGTCTTTTTAAGCTCAATTTCTTGAGCGTAAACTATGAAGTGTGACAAAGCTGTTAGTCTTATACCATGATACCTTAATTACTGTAACAAGGAATCTTTTTTCATCTTCTTCATGCATTGCTCCACTGATTGAGCCAATAGCCCAACAGAGAGTATTCAAATTTTTCCATGACCATTCTGTCCCATTCACTTGATTATGAAGTTTTTCAGTCATTATTCGTTCTGTGTCTGCATAATCCAGATGTGTAAGATACACTGAAAGACAATTAACAGTAACAGGCACACCTTTAAGCAACAAACTGGATCACATCTCTTTGAAGTTAATTTCTTCTAAGAAAAAGACAAAATCAAAATGCTAAGTGCAATAGTTCTTTCGTGAATTTGTGACAGAACAAGCTAAAGATTTAAACCCAGAACTGCTAGAGTTGTATTTAAAGACATGGGAGAGAAATATTTTGTCTGTCAGTCCAATCAGTAAAGCTACTAAGTTAAATTATTAATAAAATGCATACATACTCCTAAGCCATAGGAAATATGAGATAGGCTAGCTCTGAGGGACGCTTATACAGCATTTATCAAGTCAGTCCATAATTTTCCTCTGTTTGTTATTTCAGTGTCATTATATCTGTTGGTTTTAATAACCTACCATTAAAATGGAGATGGTACTCCTGAACTAGTCTAGATGAAAAGATTCAGCTTTTTCAACTCAGACCATTCTATCAGCCCCTAAAATGATTAGGCTCTCTAACATAAGTAAAATTCAAAATCCTGCCAAGTTGGGAAAAAAAAAAAAAAAAAAAAAAAAGCACAAAGGTCAGATTTAGCAACGGATTTTTACAGCGCCACTTTCTCTGCACTCTTGCTTTTTTAAGAGGTGAATCTTCTATTACAATAACACACTAAGCAATAACAAACACCAGAATTCAAATGAAGACTGTACACCTGTATCTGGAAACATTACTGAAGATGAGAATATAATGTAGTAATTTCAATACAATAAATAAAAGTTTTGATATTAAAAAAACATACTAGAACTACAAATCTACTGTGAAGTATACTTCACAAGAACAGCAGTGAGAATAAAAAAAAAAACAAAACATTTTGTTTGACATTCATAAAGTTGCTAATGAACACTCAGCGCACCCCTCCGGTGTTTCCATTTAACAGAAAAATGTTATTACTGAAGTCTAATGACCTGACCTTAAATATGTGACAACTCTGTTTCAAACTTACCTTCTCCCCCACCCTCATATAACTGTGCTACATACATGCTATTGGTGAAGTTGCACAGATCTACAGGACAACTACAGGACAATAGCCACTGCACTTACCCAATGTTTCTCTCATATTTTTATATAAGTTTATGGAATCTGTATCCTTCATGAATTCACGTACTACTTCCCCTTGATCATTTTCCACCACTAGCACTTCTTCAGGCTTAGCCATACGGCTAACCATTAGCAATCGAACCTGTGCATTACAAAGGAAAGTTTCAGTTGAATTGCACTGCATTTCCTCATGTCAGCTCACATACAAGCAAATGAGAAGGAACATTCTGAAGAGACACGCTAACTAAAAAGCCATTAAGAGTAGAGCTGATTTCCATCTCTACAAGAATAAGAGTTCCTTAAACAAGTACTATACGTTCTAGAGTTTCAAAAGATGTATGTATTAAAGACCTTTCAAATACATTTTTTAAACACTTCTTTTTTCCTCCAGCACATGCAGCTTTTATTTTCACCACAGCCCTCGTACAAGCAATTCATTAACAATACATTGCTTTTAAAACTATAATAAATTGTCTTGGTTTTGAGATCTCATTGTTAAGTAAAAAACACAGCTCCGCCACACGAAGAAACTGAACAAAAACATCAAGTTGTCCTCCTTCTCTAGGCAGAAGTTAGCTATGTTTTCATGAACCCCACACCAAGATCCATGCTGGAAACCACTAATTACAGAAATTGTTAGCATGATTTAGCAAATCCTACATAGCAATTGTATTACGAAGTTAAAACGAAGCTGCTGAGGTGATAACATGGAAGAAAACAGGGTTGGTGTATTTAAATAAACTGTACAGACATATATTCTCTCTTACTTTATTATACACAGTATCAAAGGAGCACACTATTAATAGTTCTATCATCTACTGGTGCCATCTTGTAAGTTCAGCAATTTCAGCACAGTAAATAACTACAGATGAATCAGCTATTACTCAAAGCAAGGAAAGTTTTCTGAAGTCATCCCTTACATACAGTGAAGTCTCTGCATTTAGGAAAAGCGTCTAAACTTAAATATTATTTTCACTTAAGCATTGATTACCTTGGATAATACAGGCAAATAAAGCTGTCTCCTTGGAGGAACATCAAAGTGTTGACTTCCAGAAAGCAATGGAGAAGCAGATGTTGAGAATGGACTTTCCCTGTAGAGCTCAGCAGCTAAATGATTCCAATATTCAAGACAAATCTTGAAAATTTCAGTTTCTTCTACTTCTGATACCAACAACATATAATGAAGAGCCTGGAAAAGTGTTTTTTAAGCATCTATTTACTAATTATTTTTGAACACAGAAGTAAATTGAAACTGTACTCCTTCAAATTTTGTTATCCTGATACTGATAAAAATACTGAATTAGTGTAAAATTTACTAACAAGTAATACTGCAGTGGCATTTACTAGTCAAAGTTATGACCAGTGGAGCAACTGAAAAGAACACAGCACCATGTCAGTTCATGTTATTTTGAAAGCGTGGATCAGTTCTTAAACACAGAATAGCCTAAAGATATCTTAAAAAAAAAAAAAAAAAAAGCAATAGCCAAATTAGTCCCTCACTGTATTATCAAAATCACATCCTCTAAGCTTCTGCAAGACCTCTTTTTTTAGACCCTCAAAAAAAAACCCTTAGCTGCTTGCTTTAAGGACTGCTATTCTCAATACTGACTGCTACTTTCTTCTGCAAATTCTCTGAGAATGTGGAAGAAAAACTTCAAAACCACACCGCTTATCTGCATTCAGTGCAAGACATCTACTAAGACATCTTCCTTTATTAACTGAACAGCCACTATGAAGACTGAGTGCAGCTCTGAGACTGATACCAAATACAGAGGCCATTTCTACATAGTCAAAAATTATTTAGCTATCTTATTTTAAAATCCCTAGTGAAATGTCGAACAACAGCCTATCAGTGAATTAAACAGAAGGGAGCAATGAAAACAAACTTCATTTTTGCAGCTCAGACACTAAGCCATCCAAAGTACTTTAGGCGGAGAAGTCTGATTTGACATCTTTCTCTACAACACTGAAAGAGGGATTCAAAAACAACTCACATTATTCCTATGCACATCCATTTTGATCGGCAATTTCACTTTTAAATAACTTAACTAGCTTCTTTCACTACTCTAGATGACTCCAATGAATCCATGCAGCAATTTCAGAATTCAGTTAAGTCCAGTGTGGGAACATACAGATTAAAATTACATAGCTAGCTTAAGGCTTTCTTCTCCCCACTACATTCTGTTATACTGTAGGTTACAACAGTGAAACTTGCAGCGATTTTAAGCCACTCTAAAAATTTTGTGGAACATTTCAATATCCTGTAGAAGACCCAAAGTCATTCAGAATTGAGTTTTGCAGAAGTCCATTTAAATGTCAATTTTAACTATTCAACAATTTAATATAGTTGTGCTGAACAAGACAGGAGGCAAGATTAAATGACTGCACTCCAACTTACATGACATTCAACTTCATATTCTTAATAATGTCTCAACATGGTTTGAAACTTGATCTCTTCCTTGATTGACAGTTATTTTGCAAAAGTTCACTAATTTTGAGGTAAAGAATTACTTGTGGATTGCTGAAAGGTTTTTCTTTGCTTTCTGCTTGGTTGTCTTTAAATAGAACAAGAAACAATCATTTAATCTATTTTCTAAGTGAGCTACAGTTTGCTATTTGCAAACAACTTATATATATATGTTTGTTTGTTTTTTCCTGGCAGAGAGCTGCCCGGAGAAGAAAAGTACTGCGAATATCAGATGGAAAAGACTAGAGTTCAAATAACTTACAAGCATTGCACTGACAAGATGGACCCACAAAATAAAACTGGTCTCCAGGTTTATACTGTGGTTTTGAGTTTTTTGAGTCTGTCTCAGGATAGTTCCTCAACCTACAGACTCCATACCTGCAGAGGGCTCAACTCTGGGACATTGCAAAGGCTGCTACAAGGGCCTATAGAGACAGTTTAATCCCATAGGAGCTCAGGGGTGGGAGAGAGCTAATAGAAATGTCACCAAAGAACAGCTCACTCTCAGCAAGTCAATACACGTCTCCCAGCAAGACCCCTTAATACCATATAAAGCATGTTTGTTAACTAGCACTTTGTAGAGCTCCAGCATTAAAGGCTATGCTTGTGACACAGAAACTAAGCACAGACCACAAGGACAATATTCTAGACATTTGGGAAATGACATCTTAGGCAAGAAGTTACACCAGGACAGAAAAGCTGGAGAATGGCATTTGCTATCCTAGTATCCTAGACGCCAAGCCTGGATGTTGAATAAAAACAAAGTACACCGTTTCACACACAAACTGACAGAACTCACAGCAGCAACCACCTGCATGAATGAGTTAAACAAAAATAATGAGTTTTGATACCCATGGAAAAAGGTTACGATACTTCTTTGAATGCATTTTAGAGCAGTATTTACACTTCAGAGAAGAGACAAGTAAGAAGAAAGAGAGAAAAGCACATTCTGCACATTTTGTTTTTTGTTTTGTTTTAAGGATAACACCACTGAAAATAAATTGCTACTGAAGCACACTTGGAAAGTCTGAAAGGTTTCTTGTGCTCATATCATTTACTGATTACATTTACTGATTATGGGGAAAAAAAATCTTCTAACCAATATAAGCACAACAGTCTAGAGGTCATATTAGTATGTTATTCCAGAACAAGAAACCTCTACTTTTGAACTGGATAAACGATGCAACTTACCTCCATTAATGTTTCTCTCAGATTTAATCTTTTTTCTATAAGTTGACCATGTTCCTTCAGAAACGTGCAGAGAAACAAACTGAGATTCTGAATGAAGTTCTGTTCATCATCTTTTCCATTTGAGTAGGCAAGTCGGATATTAGTATTTAAAGGAAGCATCTAACAAAAGGAAGGCAAACATAACCAATGTCCTACCATGCAAGTAGAACTACTGCATACTAGCATATTATCAATCACATTGCTTTTTTATTGTTGTTATTGGCTCCGAGCTGGACAGTACAAAAGAGTACACAGACACTGAAGTTCTGATCAACAAAAGCTTTCCCTAGCACTTTTAAACAGGAAAGACAAGAGAAGCACCTACCCTATCTCAAGACATTTTTGACTGGTATCAAGCGAAACTGTTCCAAAAGTGTCTTTATTACCTGTACCTTGTAACATGGCAGTCATAGTATTAAAACAGTATGAAAGATCTCCCTCACAATGTTTGTAAGTTAGTAAAAACGACCTACAAAAATACAAATATTTTTCAGTAATCTACCAAAGATCTCAGTGGTACCGTCTGAAGTAGTACAGCAACTTTCAAATTCTACTGTTATAAAACAGAAGAATTTTCAGTGTTGTCTGGCTTCTTTAGTGCCAATACTGTTACACCCAATTCAGCACTCAACTGTTACTTTAAGTAAAAGCTCTGGCTGAAAGTATTTGCATTCACAATCAAGAGCATCATCTGTAGAATCACAGCACTGTAGGGATTGGAAGGGACCTCCAGAGATCATCAAGTCCAAACCCCTACAAAGCAGCTCCCTAAAGCAGGGTTCACAGGTAAGCCACCAGATAGGTCTTGAATCTCTCCAAAGAAGACAACTCCACAACCTCCCCGGGCAGCCTGCTGCAGTGCTCCATCACCCTCACCAGGAAGAGGTTCTTCTGCATATTGATGCAGAACTTCCTATGCTGCAGCTTACAGCCATTTCCCCCTGTCCCCACAGACCACTGAAAAGAGGTTGGACATACCCCCTTGTCTCTCACACTTAAGATACTTATTAACATTAGTAAGACCCCCACTCAGTCTACTTTTCTCAGGCTGAACAGACTGAACAGGTCACTCAACCTTTCCTCATAGCAGAGATGCTTCAGGCCCTTTATCATCTTTGTGGCCCTCCACTGGATTCCTTCCAGGACATCCCTGTCTTCTTTGTACCAGGGAGCCCAGAACTGGATACACTGCATCAGGTGAGGCCTGAGCAGTGCAAAGTAGGGGGGGAAGATCACCTCCCTTGTCCTGCTGGCCATGGTCTTTTAAACACACCATAGGAACCCACTGGCCTTCTTGGACACCAGGGCACATTGCTGGCTCATGGCCAACCAGTCATCCACAAAGAAAAAAAAAAAAGAAAACAAAGAAATGAAAAAGAAAATAGGAAACATTCAAATGCCTTAAATAGAATGATTTAGCTGCCAGAAAAAGTCAACTTTTAAAACAAATTCTAACTAAAAAGTTCTACAGCTCCTCTTGAAGCCGACAGTGAGGGAGAGGAATGAGGGCAGAGATACTTCTTTTAGAAGCACACCTTTCTGAAAAGACCTCGAAGACTGATGAAAGCTGTGTTATACACAGCGGGGAACAAAAACTGATACAAAAACAGAATCTAATTGTCCAGAAGGGCTATAAAAAAATAAAACCCACAGCTTTGGCATGAGCAAATCCTCATTGAAATGGACAAATGTGAAGCACCATCTACATTTATCCTTTCTTCCCTCAAAATAAAAAGTATGCAAAATTCATTACAAACTTCTGGCATTTCACTATGATTGTGTGCTGAGGACAACACAGCACCTCACCTACCTGCCTTTCTCAGACAACCTGAGAGCACAAAACATACGCTGAATTAACCAAAATACATCAATCCTGCAGAAATACAGCTGTCCTCCATAGTCACGTTTGTCTTTTGATAAAGCTATAAATACACAATCAAATGGCACAATGAAATCTAACATTTCCGAACAGCTCTAGAGAGTATCAACTTGTAAACTGAACTAGGTTGTTAAAAGTAAAAAAAAAAACCAAACATTTACTAAAACATTACCTGTTTTAACTGCATCATGGTCAAGGTAAAAAGCGTTACAAATTGTTCTTCATACTGGCTTACACTGACACCTGCAATCTCTGTGAGGCACTTTAAAGAGACATTCCGAAACATGGGAACATTTAAGAACTATTGAGAAAAGAAAAGGAAGCGTTTTACAAAGGTGTTATATGATACACATTTTGCAACTTTTAAACTGAAAAGCTGTCAGTAATTACACGCATACCTTGTATATTAGTGTGCTGATTAACTTAGTCTCAAATATGTATCCCAGGGGAATCCAGTTCAGAAATCGTAGCAAAGTTTCCAAAGTCGCATGAACTAAAGGAGCATTTTGGGAGTTTTCCTGTGGGAACACATCAGTGAATATTACTAAGGCATAACTGGGAGGAGGTAGCGTGGAAGAGGTTAAAAAAAACTAATACTTACCATCACGAACTGACACAGTTGAAATATCTGAGAGAACTCATTGCACATACTATAAAAAAAAAAAAATAAAATAAATGAAGCACTCCCAAGTTCCCAAAACAATCCAAACTGTATTAATCAAAGCGCCTGTGACCACAACACAACTTCTGAATACCTACAAATCCTTGCTTCTTTACAAAAGATAATGCCAACAGCATTTTTTTTTTTTTTTTTTTTTGAAGAAGTCCAGTGGGATCAAGTGCATCCTCAACAAGTCTGCATGCAACACCAAGCTGAGTGGTACAGCTGACAAGCTGGAAGGAAGGGATGATATCCAGAGGGACATGCATAGGCTTGAGAGGTGGGCTCGTGCCAACCTCATGAAGTTCAGCAAGGCCAAGTGCAAGGTCCTGCACCTGGGTCAGGGCAATCCCAAGCACAGATACAGGTTGGGCAGAGAATGGCTTGGGAGCAGCCCTGAGGAGGATTTGGGAGTGTCAGTTGATGAGAGATTCAGCATGAGCCAGCAACGTGTACCTGCAGCCCAGAAGGCCAACTGCATCCTGGGCTGTGTCAAGAGAAATGAGACCAGCAGGTCAAGGGAGGTGGTTCTGCCTCTCTACTCTGCTCTCATGAGACCCCATCTGAAGTACTGTGCCCTGCTACAGAGCCCCCAACACAAGAAGGACATGGAGTTGTTGGAGTGGGTCCAGAGAAGGGCCACAAAGATAATCAGAGGGCTGGAGCACCTCCCAGCTGGGGCGCTTCAGCCTGGAGAAAAGGCGGCTCTAGGGGGACCTTAGAGCGTACCTCAAGGGGGCCTACAATGAAAACTGGGGCAAGATTTTTTCTAAGGGCAAGTAGCAACAGCATAAGAAGCTAATGGCTTTCAACTGGAAAAGGATAAATTTAGACTGGATACTAGAAAGAAATTATTGACTGTGAGGGTGGTGAGACACTGAAACAGGATGCCCAGTCTGGTCACGGATGCCCCTTCCAAGGCTGGAGGCGTCCAAGGCCAGGCTGGATGGGGCTGCAAGCAACCTGGTCTAGAGGGAGCTGTCCAGGCCAACAGCAGGAGGGTTGCAACTAGATGACCTTAAGGGTCATTTCCAACACAAACTATTCTATGTTTCCATGACCATCATGGGATGAGGCAGTCGCAATAATGCAGAAATATACGTTGCATGGGAACTGCTGAGTCACAGCCCAAACCACTGATTGATCACCTGGGGAAAGGACAGGGTCAGCCCTGGGAGCACAGGTGAAGGCAATTCAGCTGTGCAACCGGAAGGGCTGGAGCCTGGCTCCGCCTCTCAGTCCCCACTTAAGGGCTGACTGCCACTGTAGAATAATCTCTGGTTGAAGACCCTTTCCTGTGAGTCTTGATCTTCAGAGATGGGTGAGCACATTTACTTTCCTGTAAAATACCATCCTATCTCTGCTGGTCCCTTTGTAGTTACATTTTGTATTATCCTTCCACCTCGGTAGTCTTTCCAATTGTAACATATGTATAAACTAAGTTTTGTCCCACGTAACTGTACTGCTTTAAAGGAGGAGAAAAGAAGAATCACATTTAAAAAAAAAAAAAAAAAAAAAAAAAAAAAAAATCAGTAAGCCACTTAAATCTCAGCTATAAAACTAGATATATCCTTTTACTGAAAACCTCCTAGCACGACAAACTATTTGCCAGCAAGCCCAGTATGCACTATTTATTAGTTATATTAAATACTATACTTGCCTGTCTTTCAAATGCTTTGCTTTCACTTGAGTTATCTGGCCACTGGAGAAATCAAACACTTCTTCACTCAATAGCTTGAGGATCACCATGTTGTTCTGACAAAGGCTTTCACTAGTCCTGCTTGCTCCTACAATATCACTTATAAAAGTTGGCCAGTGCTTTGGCCATTCCTGTTTCAGAATCTGAAAAGTGAAACACCAGTATATTAGGTACTTATGCAAAACCAAATGCTTCATGACAAGATTTAATGCTTCCTGAACTCCAACTTACCTGAACAAGAATCATGTTCAGTTTCCCAATATACACCTTCTCTTTCTGGAAAATGGAAAAGACAAGTCAAGTTACGCATAGTATTTACCTCCCTTTTTTTCCCCTGAGATAATTCACTTACTTCTACACATGTTGGATCAGATGACGTCTTGATAATTAGGCCAACAACATACTTTTTTATACCTGCAGAAGAATTGGAGAAATACTTTAACTGAGCCAGATATCACGAATAATGTTTCTGACTCAGGATTCTTGCCATATCGTTAAAACAAGGCATAAGGCTGCAAGGCAATGCTAACTGAGTTGACTTAAAACCCATGTCACCTGTCATATGTGCTCCTGTCAACTGGCAAGTAAAACGCTATTACTGCTGATAATCCTTCAGCCTATTTACATGTGTGTGTGCATATCTGCAAAGGCATGTGTTTTGTTATAATGTAGGCAGATAAGTTTTCTTATTAAATTATTTAGCAAAATAACAGAAGTTCAAGATTAATAGTTAAGTTACCATATTCACTGCAGAAGAAATATCCCTCCTGCTTGTGTGGTGCTGACAAATTTTCTACATTCAGAAATCTCACAAATTAAGGAAACAGAAGTAGTTTTGTTAATTGTATACATTAACTCTATACTTTCTATGTGGCTCACGACAATTCTTCTTTACTGAATGCAGTGCAGGCAAGCAGAAGGATTGGAAACTTATGTTTTAGAGTATATATGTATCTTGCTATTTGACTTAATGAAGCCAAAATCTAGTTGATGTATATTTCTTCAATGAGATAGTCAACAATACAGAAATAACACAGATTATTTTTTTTTTAAAGTTATCAGCAAACTAAAATGAGTTTAAGCCTTACTTTAAGAAATTTCATTTTTTTCCCCTAGCCACTACTCCTACATTATAAAACATTCCTAGTACTTAAGCAAAATTAGCTGTTTTCTGCATTCTGGGCATGAACAAAACGAACATTTCATTCAGTTTTTAATTGCATTTTCAAGAAATCTGGGAACAACACATCTGGAAATTACACTATCGGTAGCATACCAGACAGCAGCTGCTCTGTGAGCGCTTCTGATGACAAATTAAGCTCTTCATCATTGTCAGCAAGGATCAATGGACACTAATTCAGAAGAATACTCAATAACAAAATATATCACTGACAAGCACTGGTCTAAGCCTGGTATCATGGCCCTCACCCCCTCAAGAAAAAACACACACAAAAAAAATCAGACTTTGATGAAGTGTTAAAGCACCCAAACAGTACATAAGAAGTGTTCAGGGCCAGAAGCTAAACTATTCATCTGCTAAGCTACTGAGATAATTCAACTTGTTGCAACTCTTTTCATTCCAGAAAGAATTTGAAAGTGAATGTTGTTCATAAAAACACTGTTCTGACATCAAAGCTGCCTATTTTTTATTTTAAATCTTGCTGCCCTAATAGAATTCAACTGTTCATTTACAATCTCAGTACCATGCTACCATCAATCCAGCCTTGAAAACATCTGCAGATGGAAATAGTTGCTCAGTTCTAAAGCTTATCCACTGGAAAAAAAAAAAAAAAAGGCAACCACAGCAGAACAGAAAATCTAAAAGACTTAACAGTTCCTGAATGTCATGCTGCAGGCTTTTGAGCTCTTCCATTCATTCAGGTAATGGTCACATTTTTAATCCCTCAAACGTAGCAGCTACTGAAATCAAATGTTTTCTTTTTCCCCTTTTTGGCTTAAGCTACATTTTTCATGTAATTACTTATTTTTTTCTTTTAAGTTAAGAAGGAATATAGTTTCTGCTTTATATTTAACAGCCCTGTTTTTTTAATAATCATTCCACAGATGAGATGAAAACACCATTGTTGAGACAGAACCCATAGTCCTAGCTCCTGTTCATGGAGTTGTTCATAGGCTCAACTAGGAAAAAACTGGTTAACAAGAAGTCCAGTTCATTTCAGAATAGTTTGGAACCTACCTTCTGCCAACCTCACTCCAGTACTGCCTCAGAGGCAGTGCTCCTCCTCCTTGTGTCCCACAGCAGTTAACCAGTATGTTAGCCAAGCTCCGCCAGTAAGAAAGGTTCTACTTATTGCTAAGACTGGACACCAGGCCACTGTCAGAAGGCCTGGAATAGTGCTGCTGTTTGAATTTTCTGGTAAGCAAAATGCAAAAGGAGAGAACAAGGACACTGACAGAATACAGCAACTAGAGCTCTCCTTCAAGGCCTTTCCAAAGTTCCTGGACAAGTACTGCATATCACAGTCCTCACATGAAAGCAGCTCCCCTATAGAGGGAGACCTAAAGGTAACAAACCACTTTCTGAAGGGAAAGCATTTTCACAGGCGAACCAAGCTAAATGCCAGAGCAAGGAGAGAGAGGAACATCACAATCACCACATTACTAAATTCTGTAGTCTGTCTAAACTGACAAATATCAAATATCCTAGTTTCAGCATAGGATATGCTTGCAGAAGCAATTATGTCTCATCTGGGCCACAATCTCAGAGCAATTCTTATCATAACAGAGGTCTGGCATGTCATCAGTATGTACGCTTCAGGTACCTCTTCCATTTGAAAATGAGCAAAGTTGTACAGTCAACTCAAGTTTCATAATGAGGAAGTGCTTATCCATTCTGACTCAAAGTATTCCAGACAAGCTTTCTCTGTTCACAGGAACAGAATTTTATTTCACACTGCACGATTAATGAAGTGTATCACTGAATTGCAAGACCAAGAAGCTTTTTATTTCTGGGCAGGTTTTCGCATAATAAGAGAAAATCCTATTGAGACCACAGCACATATATCAAATGACATCCTTCGTAAGTACTATTAAAACACAAACTCTGCATTAGAGGAGTACAGGTCTGGCAACAGGACAAGAAGAGCTTAAAATTAAAAGCCATTTAAAAATAAAAGTAAATTTAATAATGGGGATTCACATCTAAATAAAATCTTCTGAATAAAGCTCATTTCACTGCTTATATTTGAGATCCTAGGCCGGAGTTAAAACCTCCTGATGCTAAACCAGAAGTGAACAAAACCCTGGCTAACTTCAAGGCCCAAAAAGAGATTCCAATGTGTAACTCCAGGTACAGCTAAGGTAAGATCTCAAAGGAAAGATTATAGGGTTCAGGTTCTGTAATTACTGACATTTGTTTACTTCTCCAGGATTTTCAGACAGGTTGTCTTTTCACATCACTGATGCTCAATTCAGATCAACACATCAACTGATAAACACTGCTACTGCTACAAGAGAAGAATACTACTTTGTAATAAACACATGTAGTTCCTTCATAATAAAAAGATTTTTCAGCTGTGTTTACTATACAAATTGAATCACACATACTAAGTTTTACAAACTAAGATACAAGCAGAATTAAATGATTTGTGAAGGACTTTGTTACAAAGCATTCCTTTGTGACATTGAATTTTCGTTTCCTGCAACCCCTATTTCACTAGTCACACTTCAAACCAGAAAACACTGCCAACCAAAGGAGCCAGAAACCTTTATTCAACCAGTCTTCTCATCTCCCAGGTAATTAAACTGTCCAATTAAGTTAAGAGCAGTTATCTTGTACCAGCTGGCATAATAAAAACAAAATCCCAGCAACTATGACCAAAGACTAGATCAAACCAGACGAGAACATCTAGGCCAACATGGATCAAATATCATGGTACACCAAGCATTTAGCTGCTCTTCTACTGATGTACTGGAAAAAACAGAATTAAACGCCACCTGACTCATTTCTCCTAAAACAAGTGAATTTTACAATTTCTCTTTGGCTTGTAAAAATATTCCAGAAGATTTTACTACAAGATAGATATCTGTTGGGATGAAGGATACTTTTTTCTTCTGCAATCTTCAGAAGCACAAAAGGCAGGGAAAATAATAATAGTGTAAGTTATCATCAGGTGATTACACAACTTCAGACAGTAATTTTATCTTGTCATGTATTCAGCCACTTACTGCATCTGCTCAGATGATCATAACTAGTCAAACAATATTACCATGCTTACTAAAAGTGAAATAAAATACAAAATACCATCTCAAATTCTGGAAGCAATGTCCAAGTCACATATGCATAATTCGACATCTGAAATCCAGACGTGATAACATGATCCAATGCACAGCCAAGCATCACCTCAGCACAACCACTTATCCGTTCTATGCATTAAGAATTTTTAAAACTTGAAATCACTTTTGTAGTCTATTTTTGGCCCTTATTCTGTCCCAAACTATCAAATAAGTCTCCCAGTTCAACTTCTCCTATCTGACTATAGCTTCCTCCAACAGGCATCAGTAAGGTGACCGTTAACTAGTTCAACCTGCTGACTCCTCCCTGCTTTGCTCCAACAGCCAAAAACTTTGAGACAACTTCCAAATGCTGAACATAAGTGTTCACACTCAGGAAAATGGAAACACATGAAATTTTTAAGTGCAAACAAAAGATAACTTCAAGGTTCTCCCTCAGTTTCTCAAAAAGGCACGATTCTGTTTGAGCCTTCAGTTTTTTTCTTAGAAGCCTGTAAGGCTGCTTCTAACAGCACGTAAGTGAAACCTTTTCCAAAAGCTAGGCTACATCTGTTTTAAAGTGGAGGTGAGGAAAATAATCACAAACATTGAAATTTCCCTCTTCAAAGATGTGTTTTACTGACATTTACTATTACATTCCCATCAATAAACTGGCAGTGAAACTTCTGATCACATATTCACAATGTTAAAAACAGCTCATGGCAGAACATGGAAATCCAATTAATGAGTTCTGAGAACAGTATTTCATAAAGACCAAGTATAAAATGGTGACAAGTTTTGAAAGTAGTTCAACTTAGTGTTCCGAAATCTGTTTCATGACTTGACAGAAAGCTTTGAACATGCATTAATCCTACACCAGAGGATTACTCTAACAAACCTCTTGCTGTTTAACACATACTGCAACACATAAAGGAGGAAAGAAAAACAATCACAGAATATCCTGAATTGGAAGGGACCCACAAGAATTTGAGTCCAGCTCCACAGAAGACCACCCAAAAAACTAATTAATCTGCCTGAGAAACACTGCCCTAACTCTTACTATTCTAAAATAATTATGACTGGCTAGAAGTTTAAATAAGTTTAATCAGCATATGCTACCATAGTCTACAAAAAAAATTAAGAGTACAATGGTGGAGCTGTGCACATAGTCCAGACAGGCTGAAGACTGCCCAGTACAGAGAATCCAAACTTCTACTTCAAAGGCAGAAGCCAGCCCTCTTCAGATTAAGTCTCACCTACAGATCAATGCATCACTGCAGCAGTGGTGTTTCGAAAAGCATCAGCTGATGTTTTTACTTTTGTATAACACTTACAGAATCCTAGTTGCCCACCATTCTAGTGAAACCACTACTGCGGAAGCGCAAGACATGGTGTGATACAGAAATGCACAGATAGCCTTACTTCGTGACAAAAAGCCTAACGAGAACTTTAGAATTACTTACATGTTACATGTTCTAAATCTCAACAAAAAACGTAAGAGGAAAAGACAAAATACAAGTGTAAGAGGTAAGCACAAAAATCTCTTCCTACCTTCACACTGGTTCCTCGGAAGAATCTTCCATCTTGTTTTTATCACATTTTCCAATATTTGCAGTCCATAATACTGAAATTGGAGAAGAGCAAAATGTGAGCGTGTTACTGTAGGACTAACTCCCTGTCAGGATTTTCATTCAATCAGACATTCACATGTAACATCTAAGGCTTCAAGAATATTAAACTAAAAAACTTATTAAATATGTCTATTCACCCGTTTATTCAAATTTCATGCATTTTTTTCCATTTTATTTTTGCTATACTAAATCCTGCTGTTTGATCATGCTCACACCAGGAGGAAAAAAAAAAAAAAAAAAAAAAAAAGAAAAAAGAAAAAATCTCTCTGGTAGACAATTTTGGCCATCTGGAAAGGAGGAAGTAGCAGCCAGATAAGAATTTGCATCATAATTGACTGTCCATATGTTCAAGTACTATCACAACCAGACTCCTAAAATATTTAGTAGCTTGGACGGTTTCAAGTGTCCTATCATTCCTCTAAGAGCTGAAAAAAAAATAAATAAATAAAAAAATCATGTCTTATAACATGTTCTGATGCTGGCACTTTCTAAGGAAAGTATTTCCCAAATTTCACTGGTGTGTTACTTTAGGAACAGCAAGACAACCCACAGGTTTATTCAATTTCAATACCCACCCCAATATGGCAGCTATTTCTACTATTTAAAGATGAACTTTTGTGCTCAGTCAAAACATGCATAAGTTTTTATTTTATTTTACTTTTTATTTTATTTATTACCTTTCAGGAATTCCTTCCTAGGTTCTTTGCCGAAAATGTTATACGTGCAAAGGAACTGGTAAGGCCACTCCCTCTGCCCATTTGTCCCTACTGTCAACTCACAGTAACAGGGAGAAAAGTTTTGATGTGATCACGGAACATAAAACCCCATTAGCATGAATAGACAGCAGAGAAAAGGAGATGAGGAATTTTGCAATAGTTTTATCAGCATAAGATCAGAAGGAATACAATAAATCACATCAATACCTGAAAGGTAAACTCATGTTTATAAAGTTAAAAGTTTGGCTGAGAATAAGAGTTCTTCTTTAAAATGGTTAGTTGTTATATAAAGTAGGATCATTAACATTTCAACCAAAGGGATCACATAAACTTCAGTTTAATAAAAGAAAAAAAACAAAAGAAACAATAGAGAACAAACCACAATGTAGGTTGTCCCAAACTACATTGTTTTATTAAAATCTTTGCTGTTTTCATCTTAACATAACCTACGTATCCCACATGCTTCCCTCTGCGACCCAAAAACTCCCAGTAGAATCACATGCAGACCCTGGATTTGCAAACCAGTGTCGTCTTTCAGGATGTTGGGGTACAGAGAAAAAATTGAAATTATGGAAAATTGTCAAGTTTTTGTTTTTTTTTTCCAGTATTAGCAACAGAAGTTTATAAACTGCATATTAATCTTTAAGTTTACAAGTAATTAAACATAAAACTAAATTAAATCAAGGGAATGTTCATACAGAAAAATGTATGAAACTGTTTAAGAAAAATGTTTCACAGGCAGTGACTTCAGTCACTGACCTAGGTATATGCCATTTTGTACCTGATCTACACAAAAAAATACAAAACATTCAAGAATGCTTCTAACAACCTTGCGAGTATGACTACTTATAAGACAGGGTTAATCTTCCTGAAGCAGAAGCTACTTGTTTTATTTCTAGCTTGTACAGGCACACCTATTAAGAGGCTTTCCATGTAACAGTTAAGCAAAAACAGTATGTCTGCTTCCAAACATTTTCCACAAGTCAACTTAATTGGCTTTAAAATCAGAATGGCAAGTTTCATTTTACAAGAGTTAAGAAATTTTCTAGAAATCAAGGGCAGAACTCATCTTCAGTCTTTTTTCTTCCCTTAGAATTTCATTCAAGTACTAGAAATGTCTTTTTTTTTTTTAAACGAAAGCTGCCACACCTTTTCCCCATTATGCACTTCAGTACCCAATTTAAAATCACATACTTAAAAGCCATAAAGGTTCCTTCTCTACATTTCTACAGATTTCTGCACATGTGATTTGAGTTCTGCCTTCTGCCAGTCTGTTATTCATCTCCTCTCACTTTTGATATTAGTATTATTCATTTCTAATATTTGTGAGGGAAATGAAATGGGATCAGTAATAAAATCACCATAAATGACCTCTACGCATGCATCCTTCTTGCCACATTGTGTTAGAACCATGGTGTGTTGTTTTTTGTTGTTGTTGCTGTTTTAAATTGAAGTTACTTTTGATATAGTGATTGCAAAAATTTGTGTTATCTTCATACCAAGGAAGTACCAAAATGTCCAAAAAAAAAGTCACTGATGTCAATTTTAAATTCTGCCATCTGAAGTAACAGAAGTATTTTTATTAAGTCAAACAATACACGTAAACACATTTAAACTCAGCATAAAACAGAAGCCTTTCCAATATGCATTTTCTTAGTTTACTCCTAATTGTTTAGTAGCAATTCACTGCCAAGTTATGAAGATGAGGGACAGGTAACAGCAAAGACTGAAAGAAACCCTATAAAATGATCCCTATGGTAGAAATTTATATGATACCCTTATAACTTACTCTATGCACCAAATCCCCTCCCACCCACCTCCCAAGAAACAAAAACAATTGATGAACAGAATTCAGTTAAAGGGAATCAAAAGGGTAGACCTTGTGGAGGCCTGCCGTCAAAGCCTAGCTGTGTCAGTTGCACAGGAAGACACCCCTTTTCTTCCTATTACAAGCAATCAACATAATGGAACATTATGATTAATATCAGGTAGTGTTAACAGCTTTAATTAAAGAAAAAATATGATTGCATAAAAGCCAAATGTCATAGTGCATAAATTTAGCACCAAATAATTTGCAATTTATGTAAATGGAAGAATTCTTTACCTGTTGCTTTCTTTCTGTTCCTCAAATCATCTCATTTTTCACAAGACAAATTTGAGTTTTTAAAAATACTGTTGGTAAATCAACTTAAAAATTAGTAATGTCTGTCAGTATAATAAGCAAAGTTTACCAGGCAAGCAAACAGGCAAACACTGTTACTTAAAGGTCAGCACTTTGAGGAAGTTCTTTAAATTCTTTTTTCCTAAACTTTAAAGCAATGAGAAGAATTGAACTTTTTCCATGAGTACCTCCTGAATTCAGAGACCATCCAATCACTGTCATTTTCTGTTCAAATACTGTGTATCAAGCAGAAAACCATGCCTATCAATTACTTAAAATAATAATCATCAACCTTAATACTGTGGAAACATTTCAATCAATTTTTCAGTTCAAACTGCAGAAGTCTTATTTTAAGGTAAAACCTGTAAAGGCATAGTCAGCAACTGAATGCTATCCCTTTCTGACACTATCACAATGGATGGATTTACAGTAGTAGTACAAAGCAAGTTTGTTTTCTGTATTAGTAAGGACTAATCTCATACTACGAAGAGTTTGAGGTACTTAACTTTCATCAACTGCTCAAAACAGTGGTCTAATACAGTTTCTATTTTGTCTTCAATATACTTAGGGACAAATTATCTCCTCACTTAAACGGACATGGCTCTCATTCACATCAAAGACAGCCAAGCACTTAACCAAGAACAGAATGTGGCTCTAAGACTTTGCATTACATGTATACACCAGTCTTTGAACTGGCATTATACTTATATATGTGCCTTGAAGAAAAAAAAAAAAAAAACACCCTATTTCCAATTCAACTCTTCCTTATTTTCTTTCCCCTCCTTTTTTTTTAAAAAAGGAGAAATACTCTTGTGAACATAAAAGGAGATTTAAATATTTTATCCACTTATAGTTTCTGTTTAAAGCCACCTTTGGGAAGAAGACAATTAAGACGTGGTTTGAATAAAGAGTCTATGGCTAAAAATGAGATACCTTCCTCAAAGTTCATGAGTGGAAGAAAGATGAAAACCAAATAAGTAAAAGTTTATTTGCTTACTTTGGTATTCATATTCTGAGAGAACTCCAAAATAGTATCAACTCTTGTCCATGCATCAGGATGTTCTTTTAAGTGAGTCAAGACTTCTTGAGCCATTCTTTGCTAAAAGCAAGTTTGGAAAAAAAAAAAAAAAAGTATTAGCATAGGATTATTTTAGGAAACATATAGTATAATCAAATATATTAACATCATGTCACCTTTAAATCATGTATTCAAGACTTAGTCAGAACAAAATGAGAAGCATTAAGTTCACAGATTTCCTTCTGCCAATTACGATTTATTAACAATCAAATTCAAGAAATGCACTAAAGCAAGATGGTCACTGACTTACTCCCACTCTTCCATACTGAATGGTTCATCTAGACCAACACCAAACGTGAGAAATGCACACACACGAAGTGTACTAGGGATGGAACCTGGCTTCCATTCAAGAAATCTTCTTGATAAAATTTTATTCAAGGGCACCCCAGCTTTCTGTTCCATTTTATTTTGAAAAACCAATGAGCAGAACCAGAAGTCACCATTTCCTCTACTTGAGAGGAATCTCCTGATATATCCACTACCTTACAAAAGCAGAAACTATTTATTGGGGGACAACAGGCCAGCTGGTCACACTAATCCTTTGTTTTTTCCTTGAGACTGACATTGCCAATTATTAAACTAGTTTCCCCAGCTCCAGTAACTTGCAAAACCTTCTCATCTGAGTCAGTTATGCATATAAACAGCTGAACTCATTTAAGATACCTTTCTCAGACATGCACTTTCATGAACATCTTTTTAGGAAGCCTAATGTTAGCCATTTTCAAAGATGCAGTGTACTGACAAACCCTGCTGCAAACTGCACCACCTACAAGCATCAGACACTGCCTCCCAGCAATACAAACATCTTCCAAGTTACAAGAAACACATAATGTGAAAATTAACAGAACTTAACTCATTCTTTCAGAGCAGTGCAGATCCAATTCAATGGAATTAAAACAGTTACTGCTTTAACTTCCCCATTTACAACTTTACTACAGATACACAGATTTTTAGTTAGCTACAAGAATATACTTGAGCTGGTGGGGAAAAAAAAAAAAAAAAAAAGGAAATCCCTACATTCCTTTCCCAACACAGAAATCCCATCATGACTCAGAATCAACGAGATGAAATAAAAATTCTGAGCTGAAACACTATACAGCAAGGATGTATGAAGTACCTATGCAATACCAGCATCTCTACCTAAGACAACTCACTACAGTAGAGCGTTTCCCGGTCCAGTACTGACTTGGAACTGCATGTCCTTGTAAGTGCCATATGCAGTAATACCACACATACATTCTTTACTTAAAAAGGCAGTACAACTATATTCATACAGTTCCACAGAGGTAAAACGTTCAGCAGTTTTGATGCAGTTCAGTTGTACTAAGAGAGAAAGAATCACTTACTTCCAGGCTCAACTTGAGCGCACTTTTATACGGAACCTTCTTAGTGCTTCTAATATTGGTGACATACCACAGAATCAAGCGTCAATACCAACAAGAAACATGATCAGTATCCTTCTCCCAGGTCCTATGAAGTACACTCCCTTACCCACTATTATCTAACATGACTGGACAGCAGCTCCTGTACAAGCAGTAATGCTTAACCAGATTGAAGGCTCACCGTTTTGTTGCCACAGAAGGAAAAATCAGCAAGCAAATAACCTGGCACATGACAGTCTAACAAACCAACGGAATTTAACCGTCTGTGATGAGTATGACAGTTTTGAGCTGTCTCAAAACTTCTTACTCATGCGTTGGGACCTTTTCTTCTCAGAAAATACACACAAAAAGCTGAGGAAAAAAAATCTCCAAGTCAAGGACAGAATAGAGCTTTTATTTGCCTATGACACATCTGCAGATAATTTTGCAAGCAGTAATAAGAATTAAGCAGGAGACAGGAGATATTCAAAGATGATAATTAAGGGGAAGAAGACCAATACATTTGAAAGCAAGTTCAGCATGGGCTATCCAGACCACATCATAAGCTTTTTCACATTCCAGAAATACCGTTTATAATACCTTAACGCTTAGTATCCCTCAAATTTTATTATTCTTGTCTCCTTTCATGTCATGTTCAGAGCTGTCAGACTCTACAATAAAGTGCTTTTCCCTGCAGGAACTTTCAAACTTGTCTTGGAAAAAAAGTAAAAACTCACAGATATTCACTGAAAAATGCCTGGGTCTCTGGTAAAGTACTGAAATAGCAAACCAATTAAACATGAAAGTATAACATATTAGTACACCTATTTGTAAGTTTATATCATAATTCACTTTTGCCAATTAACAGCTTCTTTGTGAAGCAGGGCAGTGAACTGGCCTACAACTAGATAAGACTAAGTGTTCAGCATTAAGAGTGAAGTCTAATTGAATGCTTATACAGTAATGTAATACTTACACAGAACTTGCTTAGTATCCATACCTAAGTTTTTTGAAATTCATAGCTTGCAACCTAAGGCTTTCAGCAAGTTAGACAAAGACATCCAATTCCACTCAGAGGATAAGAAAGTTTCATCCTTCAGCAGGAGATAGTAGCAAGTTAACAAGAAGTGCATCCCTGCCAGCATATAGAGGAAGGTTCCAATAAGGAAGAAGGCCCCAGTTCTAAACGTTACTGTTGGTCTGAACCTACGTGTGATGTTTGATCCTATGATACACCACCAGTATTAGAACCAATAAGAAGGTCCGGTACAAAACTTAAAAGAATTTGACCCAAACTCTGACGCAGAAATGCTACAGTTGAAATGAGTGGAAAGAACTGTGTGCTGGAATCCAGAAAGGGCATCATCTCCCTCCATGATGGGACTGCTAACTGCAAGTGGATAGTCTCTGGTAGTATGAGTGGGACCCCTATGAAAGATGAAGCAAGGGGCTCATTTAAGTGACACAACTTCTCCCAATGTAAGAACAATGGAAATTAGACCACCATATTTAGAGTTAATCCCTTAGTCTTAAAATACTACAAGCACCACCTGTATAGCAAACAAACATGCCACTTACAGAACAAGTACTCAAAAGTCTCTACTACTGAAGGCAAAAGCTAGAAGTAGCTTTCTGCGACATGGTAATTTAAAAAGCTACAGCTTTTTTATTTTTACTTGGGATTTAGGAACCTGAAATTGCAAGTGTCTCAAAAAAAATAATCACGGGATTTTAGAGCCCATTGGAATTTACATTAATAAGCCATACACAAGCTTTTAATTAGAAATACACAAACTAAATACAAGCAAGTATGTTTTTGTTTATTCTAATAGTTGGAAGGAGAGAAAGAAAAACATCAGCTACTCATCTCAATTTATTTTTATTGTAGCACAATAATACATTAGTAATAGTTGCTTGACACTGAAACTCTCTGTTTCTTAAGCATGGACAATTAAAACTTGCCATAAAAGAAACTATGCTAACACCCTTGTAACAATACTTGCTTTCAACATTGAGTCTTTTTTCCCCCCACAGTTCAAGAAATCAATAAAAGCAACAAAATATGAGATTCAGTTTCAACACAGTATGTTTGCATACACTCTCCTTCTCAGACTTCACACTTCCTACTAAGGCCAGAGAATAGTGTGAGAAGAATCTATGGAGGGGAAAAAAAAAAAAACCACCAAAAAACACAGTAACGGGAAAAAAAAATAGATAAGGGGAAAATCTTCTCTTAATACCTCTAATACGCTTTTTAGTAAGTATAAATACCTAAACACTAAAAATATTTCTCTTCAATACAGTCCTTCAGTGAGGCCAATACTGAGGCTCCGACTTTATATTCCCATCCAGAATAATAACAGGCAATTCAGACTTTCCTGAAACATTAAGGTACAGAGGGTGAGCTGCGAGCAAAGACGCTCATGCTAAGCTGCACTTGCTCATCTCTTATAACAGCAAAAGGCATGCTAGGAACAGAAACACGATGAACTAATACTTCAACATTAATTGCACCAGGCCTACTTTAAACACAGGCATATGATATTCTTGCCACCAGCACAGAAAATCCATAAAGAGTAATATTTTTATTCCAGTAAATTAATTTTGCTCAACTGATTTGCTGCTAGTATTGAACATATCCATAAACATAGGTTCCAAGTTCACATTACCTGTGCACCTTCTCCATGGTACAAGCAGTTCACCACATTGTCGAGAAGATTGATATCCAGTTTCTGATTAAAATCCAGCAGCTGACGAGCTGCATGGTCCGCTAACATTGTCATAATTGCTGGCATAGATTACTGGAAAAAAAAATATTTTTTTGATCAATAAAATTATTGTCAGATTTAATCACATAAAATGCTGCCACCAAAGCATCATTTAAGTGAGACAAACCTAGCAGCACTGAATGGCACAACATTCCTACCATTGCTAAGCAAGCACCAGGACAAACCTGTACTTAAAATTCATATAATACTACCTTAACCTAATTCTCAGGGCGCTCAGCAGGTACAACGCATAATGGCAGTTTAACTAACCAGTGAGCTATATAACCAAGCAAGCTAAGCAACTTTTTATTAAGTAAGCAGCAGCCCCTACTACAAGTATTCAGCCTCTGAATATGTGTAAATGAGTAAGTTTGATAGTACATACTTCTCGCATCATTACAATCAAAACGCACCCTAGTGATCTCAGGAGAATTTTAAGCTCTCAAGAAAAACGAGCACATTTGCAAATCCAGTTCTGAAAGCTTTTCAACGAACAGTTACAGAAGTGGAGCATCACCTACATACTTGGTAAAAGTTAAAGAGATCATTTTTCATATACTTGGGAAAACAGCTCACAAACTATCTAAATAGAAGCAAGAAATTATGACTGAAATTAAGAAAGCTGTCTGCTTGAAGGCATTTAACATAAAGTGACAGCAAATTAAGCATACCACTTTAGAGCACCTAGTGGAATTCTACTGAAAATCCTGCTGCAGTTTTCAGGCCCTTAACACCCCCAACACAAGTACCAACTTCTCATCCCAGGCCTAGCAGCCCTGCATTATGAAAAGACAGTCAGGGCTATACACAATCGTGCATGCACACCAGCTTACTAGCTGGTGACTGGTAGAAAATGAAGGTGCTCACAAACAGTAAGCAAGCAAGCCAAAGCCACAAAGCTGCGCATCAGAAGTTATACACCACTCTGGCCTTTTCACATCACCATGCAGCAGCTGACCAACTGCACTGCTCTCCTCCCACAGTCACCAACAAACATAGCACTTTTTTCTACCCTCTTCCCTATATCAGCTCTCTCCCATTCACCCTCATTTTCAGTCTTCCATAGAACTACAAATTTTCTACTGAACTTGAGAAATATCCTCAAGTCTGGAGAACTGCAAGGTTACTCAAGAAGTTACATTTGATCCTGCAGCACATACAAATAGATACCATCTGAAACTCTTCTAGAAACAACCCCCACATGCACAAAACTCAACAGAAATCAAGACTCAGAACAACCCATGCTTTAGAGTAAAGTGGAAGTCAGTTCTGCTCTTACTAAATAGGTTTACGTGTGAATAAGAATGAATGTTATCCCTTACTTAAATCTCATGCTTAAAAATAAAGAGCAAGAAAAACCTGTGACTCAACTCAGGTAACCCCTAAGTGAAAGTCTCACAGTAACACGCACATTGGAAAAATCTTCTGTTTACTATATACATTTCCAGGTATTATCAAACGGTTTTGTTCTGATACAGACATGCAACAAAGTAAAAAAAAAAAAAAAAAAAAAAAAAAAAAAGTTTTTGCTGTATTTTGCATTAAAAGAAGTCATGTAAATAGTACTACTGCACTACCATAGTAATTTTTAAGGGCTAGCATCATCATCCTATCGACCTTTTTACACCAAAAAAACCCCAAGAACATAAGGAAATAAAAATCAAGCAGGAACCAAAATTAATTGAACACTACATCTTCACCCAGCTCCAAAAGTTTCCAGAACTGTTAAGTATGGAAGCAAGCAGAGCAGCAGCAAAAGCTGATTTCCTTTTTCTAACTCATAAGGGTACTTAAAAATTTCACTTGGCAGAGTGGCAACAAGCAGCACTGGGAAGAAATCTAGCCCATTAACAGGCAATGCAGCTCAGGACATTAATACTGCTGCTAGACACACATGCTTCCTCAACCTCCGCAACTGCCCTCATGGCTGTGGCATGAGCAGGTGAAGCAGCTTTTGAACTACAAGACCATTTTACATTGGTGGTTCCTTGGACAGAGGCACACGTAGGTAAGGGCCTTTTTCAGCGGTTTTTACACAATTCCAAATGCTGTGAAGCACTGTGACAGTTTTCAGGTAACAGGAGATAGATTTGCAGAAGGTTTCTGCCTACATAGCAGGACCACTCCACAAGGCTAATACTAAGATAAGAACCAGTTACAACTAGTCCTTGGTACAGCTACCAGCAAAGTATCCCACAAAGGAACGTTCCTTCCCAAATAAGGTTAAAAAAAGACTACAGAGTTCAACTAAAGGACATATTAAGATTACTACCAGGGTTCCTGAAAGACCCCCCAGGACCTCTATCATCACAAAGGACTGGTGTATGAGCAAGGAGGTGGAATCATATGTTGATGATTTTGGAAAAAGTACTGCATACGGATGAGTTCTCTGGGAAAAATCATTACATATGTAACGCAAGTCATGTGTATAAGCTGAAGATCTTCTGAACCAGTTATGGGTACAGGTGGAACAATCACCTGTGCACCTGCAGCACAATGAAGAATACTGCTTCTTAACAGCACATTGCTCTTAAGAAGTTTCACTCAGCAGTTAGGCTGGTAACACTCAGAACCGAAAGGAACAGTCACGTGACAAGCAGACACTATTAAGCACATGAAGACAAAAAAGAAATATTTTGAACAGGGTCCTTTGCCACTCCCAGCGTTATTTTCACACTGACCTGCCTACTAGCAAACTGACTCAGAAATGGCGGCTTTGTGGTCACTATCAAAGGCGATTGACTCCAATTCCCGCTACCAACACTGGGCACACACCACGCACATTACAGCTTCCATTCACTGCTCTCCTGCACACTAATACTACCATACCTGAACATGATCAGCTTTAAATCTCTATTCTCACATCAACACTAATCAGTTCTTTAACATTAACAATAAATGAGGTAACAGAAACTAGAGAAAAAAATCTAAGCTACAACATAGCAAGAACATGACATCTACCGAAGGTCAAATGAACTGCATTTGTCAAAAACTTTAAACAGCTATCCCCATTCTCAACAACACGGGGGTCTTCAGCTCTACATAGCTGTACCCAATTCATTTAAATATTTCTCGGGAAGAACAAAACACAATCATTTTACATCAAGAAGAGATGCCGAGGATTTACAGCGAGCTCTAAAGCACGGCTTCTACGTGACTACGCGAGGCTCAGAGGGGCGGCCATAGGAAACTCGAGGCGGGCACTCCACCCCGCCGCCCGTTACAGAGAGCGCAAACCACTCCACCGCACAGCGCGGCAGGAGCTCACGGCCTCATACACGCGTGAGAACACGGAGCAGCCGTGCAGCACGGCGCCCGCCGGCAGCCCAACACCTTCCCGGGACGCGGCGCCCAGGCAGGGCAGAGGCCCGGCCTTGCGGAGCACCGCGGCCCCTCCCTCCCTGCCCGCGCTCTATACGGGGCCCCCACGTGACGCGGGCGGACGTTTCAATACTGCTGCACAGACACACCAAAATATTTCTGGAAACTTCCACTCCTAATAATTCGCAGACTAAGGGCCCCGCCGCTCCCCGCGCCCGCTCCCCGCCTGCCGGGCCCCTCGGGAGGCCCCCCGGCCCCGGCCCCGCCGCCTTCCCGCGCCGCCCGCTCACCTTAGTGCTTCTGCGGCCTTTTGCTTCAGAAACTAAGGGGTGGGCGAATCAAGTTCCTAACCTCAGGGCAAAAATACAACAACGCAGAAAAAAAATGAAAAGCCGCCCTCCCCTAAAAAAAAAATAAATTAAAACCGAGGTAAGAGGAGGCTCCGCGCACCCGGCCCCCGCCAGCCACCCCTCGCCGGCTCCGTTCTGTCCCCACTCGTCCCGGCCCGGCCGCGACAGGGCTCGTCTCGGCCCCGACACGGCGGCACCTAGCCGGCCGCAATGCGCTCCTCGGGCCCGGCGCGCGCTCGCGGGGCGCCCCGCCGCCTCGGGAGAGGAGAGAGACGCGGGCTCGACGCGGCGCCGCAGCCACCTGGCACCCCTCGGGGAACCTCTACCTTCTTTACGGCCGCGGCTGCGTGACGACTCGGCTGCGTGACGACTCGGCTGCGTTCCGCTTCGCTGGCTCTGGGCCCGGGACCTCGCGGCCGCTCCTCCCGTGCCTGCCGCCCTTCCTTCGGCCTGGCGGGCCCTCAGTTCGGCCCTGTGCCCATCCCCCCCCCCCCCCACTCAGCGCTAAACTTCGGCCCCTCAGCTGCGCCGGCGGCTTCCCCCGCGAGCTCCCCCGTCAGCAAGAACCGCGACAGCGGCAGCGAGAGCGGCGGCGACTGAGCACGGCGCCTCTCCCCCTCCTAATGCCACAAGCTCGGAACCGGCTCAAACCGGTTCAGACTGGGAGATTCCATCTCGGTTTAGTTTTCAGCCCATGGCGCCGCGGAGCGTTTGGAAACCTCAGGCCCCCGCCCAGCGAGCGCTCTCATTGGTCCCGAGCGATGGCGCCTCGCGAGCGCCCTGCGCGATCATTGGGCGTAAGGCACGTCACTTCGTCGAGCGCCGCGGAGGGTAGCGGGGAGCAATCGGCGGAGGAGGGAGGATTGGAGAGAGGGGATCCGCCCCCTCCCCGGCAGCGAGCGAGGAGCGCGAAGGGGAAGGCTGCTGCCCGCTGAGTGGCCGAGTCGAGCTATCACTCAGAGGCTGGCCCGCCTTCGAGTTCTCAAATGGCGGGCGTAGGTCCTGCCCTCTTTCTATTGGCTAGCACGTCGGTGCGGTGCGCACGGTTTTTAGGCTCGTCTGTCGTCGCGCGCGGTGCTTTGGGTGCGTTGTGCTGCCGATGGCTGTTAGCGAGAACGGTGCTGATAGAACGGGGCGCCGGTGGCGACGCCGGGCTGTGCTGTGCTGTGTTGCTTTACTTTACGGCCGCCCTCGCCTTGGGGAGGTGGGTGGCGAAGTGACTCAAGCTCGCGGGTGAGGCCGTGTCTCCGGCCGGCGGGAAGGGAAGGCTGTGGAGCCCAGGCTGTGTGGTGGAGGACTGAGCGCTGCTTTGTTTCCAGTAGGCCCATGTCTTGCGCCTTGAGCTGGGCTCAGCGGTGTGCCCAGCGCGGCATCCGCTTCGTTCCCATCCCTGTGATGCCGACCTGAAACGGAGACTGGGAAGTTGTGGTTTTTGGGAAGTTTTATATTGTCCTTAGCGGTCCTGAATGGTTATCCAGAGCATAAATGAGGTATGGGTGATAAATTGTGGGATGGGTTTAAATTGCTGAACTGTGTTCTTACACTGAAGTACTGCGACCTTTAAAATGAAGTGGTACTTAGTACATAATAGACTAGATTAATGAAAAGAAACCCTACAATTCCTATGTTACAAGTTACAAAGCTGAAATGGAAATTGAGAGACATAGTGAGATACGTATGCCTTTATTTACATGAAACCGTAATCAGTATGGAAACTATGCAAGTCTTTTACCCTGTGAGTCCCTGACACATTGATTGTATAAGCCTCTCAGTTACTGTTTATTTTCTTGTCTGGAGGCTTCGAGAAGTTTGTGGGCTTAACCTACTAGGAGAAGTTCTCTAAGCTTTACTTAAATAAAAAAAAAAACTGTAGAACTGAGTTGAGTATGGAAAGCAATGCATGGCCGTAGACATGCTGGGGATAATAATAATAGGTGAGGTGACTGCCTGTGAGACCCCATTGGTGGTGTGGAATGGCTTCAGAGTAATTCACACCAACATAAAATGAAGCATTCAGTAGCATTAGAATGATTAGTTGTTCAAGTTCCCCAAATCTTTTTTTTGCTGCTTAATTATCCTTTAACTGTTCCTGTTGGCAAAAGCATTTCAATATGTGTTGAAGCTAATGGATAATTCTATCTTAATAAAATGTGCTTTTTTTTTTGTAGACAGATGTTAAAGTTTTATCAGAGAACGTTTTTGACTTTATAACAACAATTTATTCTTTTCTGCACTGTAGGTCACGGATATGCATATAATGTTATGAGTTCTTGCTGCCAGTGTCTTAAATCCTACCTTTAAATAAAGCTTCATGCATCTTTAAAAATCAACTAGCTTCTGTAAAAGTGTTTAAGAAGTTAGTGGGTTTAAGTGGAAGCTAATTCTTTCAATAGAGGGTCCTTTAATAGGTTTATACGTATTCGTGCTGGGAGCTTATTCTGTTACATTAAAGGAACTAAGTTACTATTTAAAGTAATATGTGAGATTATGAAATTGCAAGGTGTATGCAATAGATCAGAATTGAATTTAAGAATCAGATATTCTCAGTAGGTTGTCTCATGGTGCACTTGTTTCTTGAAGTAAGGCTGCTTTTGATACCACAGTACAGAAGAGGAGGACATTTCACTGTGATTAATATTTGATATTCATCAGTGACATGTTGTGTTTCCAATCTGAACAAGCATTTCCTCATCAGTGTCATTGCTGCAGAGAAGGCTTAGTTCTCAAAACTAAATCAATACATCCAAGTTTAGTCTACCTATGCCATACTCATCTTACCGTTAGTATGAAGGAGCACTTTAGAAAAAAAGAACTCAACAGATGTGAACTGTGCTGATGTTAATAAGTCACAAAAAGAAAACTCAGGTTTTTTTCCTGAAGCTTTCCACCATTACAAGTAGTATGCATTCATCCATGAGGCTATTGATCTGTGTTCAAGAACTGTTTTTTCCTGTGACTTTAATTCATTCCTTCTCTGAAATCCTTCTCTGACACTTCAAGATTGTTTATGTAGTAATTCCCAGTGGAGAAAATCAGTTGCATCTACTTATACTCTACTCATAACTTGTGATTTTCTGTTGCCTTACAAGTTGTAAAAGTGTCTTGAAGTAGTCCCAGCAGAAAGCTTCCTTGCCAGTCCTCCCTCCCCTACCCCAGTCTGAAATCTTTTTTTTTCTTTTTTTTTTTTGGAGCTGAGTGGTTTGAAGTATTTAAGGATTTCAAAAAGTACACTATCAGCACTCAGTTTTTTAACCATGCATAAAAATTACTGCATCCAGTAACATTTGTCATGATGATAGCAAAGTACATTGTTTATCTTGCCTTGTTTACTTTCCTCTGGTAGGTTGGCTTGTGTAGTAATTAACAAATCTGTAGTTCTTCCAGTGTGGCTTATGACAGGAAATGGCATTGTTACTGATCGTATTGAATTGGAAAAAATTCATGTAAACAGGATGAATAGATCTAGGAAGTCCCTAATGGGTTAAAAACAGAGTTGTAATTCTGTAACTCAGAATTCTAGCTAGCCCTGGTGTTCAAAACAAACTGATGTAGGACACCAAAAAGTTAGATATGTTGTTAACTCCTTTGGCTTGAGTTCACTTTTCTGTGTTTTCTTTTTGTTTGGATTTTTGTGTAGGAGAAGAGTTCAAACCTTAAATTTTTTGTTAAATTGAATTTTCACTATTTCAATTTAAATTAGTTATTTTTGATGGAAGGTTAGATGGAGCTTTTCACACTTCCACCAACTATCTATACAGCCCCTGAAAAAAATCAAAACAGTAAAAGTACGCTTTAAAAATATATATATGCTTATAAAAAATCATAACAGTAAAAAACACAGTGGGCCCCAGTTTGATGTGCTTGATTACGGGGCTAGTTTCTGCCTCTCCTCTTGTAGGAAGTTATCACTAACTTTGCTTATCTCAAATAACACTTCAGATGTTTTGGTAGAACTGGTCCTTATATTTTTATGCAAGCTGTGGCTTAACATGCTGTAGACAGAATACTTCTTATCTCTCTTCTGTTCTGCACAAAGCTTGCTGAAGACTGGTTCATAAATGGAGCGCAATCTTAAAAAGCAGCCATTTTAGCAGGGCAAGTATACCTGGATCTCAACTTCTTTCTAACAAAGTTAATGCAAGGTTACGCCTTCTGTTTTTGTTGCCACTGATGTCTCCTTTATTACATGTTCAATCTAGAATTTAGGCCTTACTGAAGGCAGTAGGAAAATTTACTTTGGTTTCAGATCAGCAGTGTGCTCTGGTAGTGACAAAAGCTAGCTATGTGCTGGGCTTCATCAAGAACAGTGCAACCAGTACATGAATTGATTATTCCCTTCTGTTTGCTACTCATTAGGCTGCATCTAGAACACAGTGTCTGTTTTTTTGGTTCTTCAGTACAAGAAAGATGTTGAAAATTCCATGCAAGTCCAGGGTGAAGGGAGGCTGAGAGGAGCAGGGCTTTTTCTGTTTGGAAAAGAGAATGGAGGTGCCACCTACTAGCAGCTCCCCAGTACCCACGATGATTTTTACAAAAAAGAGACAAGTTCTTTATTTAGATGTAAAGTAGGAGAACAAGAGGTGAGAGGTGTAATTTTTGTTGGGAGGTTCCTGCTGGAAGAGAAGGCCTACTAAGCATAACAAAACAGTCATGTGATTTGAGAAAACTTTGTTCTATGTTAGTGTTTATAACTTTCTTTAATATTTTTGTATGAAAAAAAATGCTGCTTAATTCTAGTCTTAGTTTAACTCCTTGTGCAGTCAGCTGATTGCCTTCACTTTTTGGAAGGTGTAATGTAATTCACTCATAAGAAAAGCGGCAATATATTTATTAATATGAGCGATTTAGCAAATTTTTGAAACTAAGTTACAGTTGATTATGTGACAATAGACTTGATTATAAAATATATGAAAGACTTTATGTAGTACACAGAGTCAGTGAAGTTACTAGGGAGGCCTTGTGGTTGAGTGATGGGGTTCAGAATGGAGTCCCCATACTACTTAGGTGGTAAGATGATTGACTCGTAGGCATATTACATAACTTCAGTTCTAAGCTAGATGTTAATTCCTCCAGAATCTGGCTTGACCAGACAGTGAATAGCACTGGATTTAGGCTGCAGTTAGATTAGTACTTGATCAGTTAGCCCTTAGATGTTGAGCAAGATGCCATTTTCTCCAGCATCTAGCCTTGACTGGAAAGCAACCACTGTTATGGTTCCCACCCACTCAAGCAAGTCTGATGGTAAAATGGTTGGGCTGCAGAGAGGAGGATAAGGGGGAAACGCAAGTTGACGTCACTAATTTTTATTTTAATGCATTGTGTCTGGAATGTTTCATGGCCTTTGAAAGTAATTTATGCTGTGATGATTAGCTGTCTTATACCCTGCTAGCATATGTTATATGATGTAAATGCTCCTCCAGAATTATTGCATTGATC